GTACATTTTTAAACATGCCCCTCTAGTAACCTCAGCTTTGTAATAGTCACAATTTTTTTTACAGTTTCTATATGCCTAAAAGCAATCTCCATTCAGGGTCAATTACTGGACAGTAATTAATAATACACCACTCTGTGATTTTGATCATCAGTGTGGTTACTAGTCTGCCTTCTGTAGATGTATACAATGTTGCTGCTTCCCACATAAAGTCAAAAATGGTTGTATCATTAGTGAAAAGGAATCACTGTTTGAGTAGCACATCTCTATGCTACCTGTAAAGTGTTCTACCTCGTTGGAGGAACGATTCGATTCCCTGGACAGCCTCCTGTGTCAAGCTTCCTGTGCCACATTATGACACTGTTGTTATTGACAGTCTATTGCTTATTCAATGAGTTGTCCAAACCTTTGATTCCCTGCTGCTAATGGTACCCCTCCAGGGCTATGTCCTCTCCTGGTGTTTCAGAGTGCCTTCCTCTTTTTTTATTTTATTTTTTATTTCACCTTTATTTAACCAGGTAGGCCAGTTAAGAACAAGTTCTCATTTACAACTGCGACATGGCCAAGATAAAGCAAAGCAGTGCGATAAAAACAACAACAACACAGTTACATATGGAATAAAAAAAAAGAAAACGTACAGTCAATAACACAATAGAAAATCTATATACAGTGTGTGCAAATGTAGTAAGTTATTGAGGTAAGGCAATAAATAGGCCATAGTGCAAAATAATTACAATTTAGTATTAACACTGGAATGATAGATGTGCAGACGATTATGTGCAAATAGAGATACTGGGGTGCAAATGAGCAAAATAAATAACAATGTAAATAACAATATGGGGATGAGGTAGTTGGGTGGGCTAATTACAGATGGGCTGTGTACAGGTGCAGTGATCGGTAAGCTGATCTAACAATTTATGCTTAAAGTTAGTGAGGGAGATTAGTGTCTCCAGCTTCAGAGATTTTTGCAGTTCGTTCCAGTCATTTGCAGCAGAGAACTGGAAGGAATTGCAGCCAAAGGAGGTGTTGGCTTTGGGGATGACCAGTGAGATATACCTGCTGGAACGCATACGGGTGGGTGTTGCTATGGTGACCAATGATCTAATATAAGGCGGGGGTTTGCCTAGAAGTGATTTATAGATAACCTGGAGCCAGTGGGTTTGGCGACGGATATGTAGTGAGGGCCAGCCAACGAGAGCGTACAGGTCACAATGGTGGGTAGTGTATGGGGCTTTGGTGACAAAACGGATGGCACTGTGATAGACTACATCCAATTTGCTGAGTAGAGTGTTTTGGTAGCTATTTTGTAAATGACATCGCCGAAGTCAAGGATCGGTAGGATAGTCAGTTTTACAAGGGCATGTTTAGCAGCATGATTGAAGGAGGCTTTGTTGCAAAATAGGAAGCCGATTCTAGATTTAACTTTGGATTGGAGATGCTTAATGTGAGTCTGGAAGGAGAGTTTACGGTCTAACCAGACACCTAGGTATTTGATTTCATCACGGCATCCCTGTAATATTAGAACAGAGAATAATTCATTAAGATTGAATGTAGTTATGTGGTAAGATTCTTGCAAGCCTGAAATGTAAGCTTTCTTTGCATGGTGCTCCCTGCAGAATCTAAATGAAATGGAGAAAAAACTAAAAACATCCCAACAAAAACAAGAAAGGGCCAGTACCTAGAGTGCTGGACCCTCCACAAGTTTCTCACATGGTGAAAAGCCTGATCAAATTCCTTAGATTACTTTTGTATGTTAAACATGCCGTGCATTTGTGTTTATTTCAAGTTTTGACTGTACTATGCTGCAAAACACAGTTAGCCTACGGTCTTTGCACAGTAGGGAATTCCACCATTTACACATCCATTGTACTGGTTATCAGTGAATTGGAAAACAGAGCATAGGTTAGTACTACTCCCTGATGTCCTTCTCTCTCTCTCTCTGTCCCACACTGTCTCAGAAAGGAGCCCATTGTCTCTCTGGGCTCTCAGAGTACAGGGTATCAGGTGGAGTTGGCAAACATGCTGAAAGTGATTCCCTCCCTGAGCCAAGTCCATATGGACATTATTTGTGACCTTCACTTGTCTTAGTCAACATACAAAGTGGCACTGGAGCAGGTTCAGCAGTTTTCAGGCATGGTCACGGCTTTCAGGATGGGACAAATGTGCTGCATTTCACATTTTATGAAGGGAAATAGATGATCATTATTCAAATGCAGGTCTTAAGGTCTGCAGAGCTGCTGGTTTTCAGTTCTACCTGATAGAGAATTGATAGATATACTGTACTCTACAGTATCATCAAATTGTAAGATATATTCCATTTAGCGGACGCTTTTATCCAAAGCGACTTAGTCATGCGTGCATACATTTTACATTTGGGTGGCCCCAGGAATCGTATATCCACAACCCTGTGCAAGCACCATGCTCTACCAACTTAGCCATACAGGGCCGCTGGATCTGTCCCTTAAGAGCCTAGTGGGACAGGAGGAAAACCAGCAATGCTGCAGAACTTCAAGGCCCATATCCCATGCTTTTCATAGTCTTGTGAATCCATCTCAACAACTCTAGCTGATTGTGTTGCATTCTTTAATCTAAACATAGATGGATGAACAATATCATTCCGAGAGCTATGGAATTAGGCAGGGGGAACAGCTGCTTTGAAATGTATTACAAATAGATTTTACTCAGACAACCATCTTCAAACTGGATTGCAGTGGGAGCAATGCCTTGGGGAGCCGTGCATTACTAATGATACTATACCTCGTGGCATATGCACAGTCTTCTTCCCCTCACGCCCTATTCTATTCACTCAGGATGATTGTGTTACACAAGACATCCTTCCAGTCTGTCACAGGTATTGCTTTGCTCCTCTGGAATGAAGCCTGTTCTCATCCAAATTGCCACGAATTTCCTCTTTGTAGTGAAGAGGGCCTTGGTAATAACTGTGTGTAGAACAGAAGTAGAGTACTTGGCGAGGGAAGGCTGCGGTATGCTGTGGAGGAGTCTTGGGAAGAGGTATGGCTGAAGGCAGGCAGGCTGGGTGTGAATGAGGTTGGGAGGCGTTAATGAGATGCCAGAGAGGAAGACAGAGATCCTGGGAACCATCAGCACTGGAGAGTTACGCACACACACGCACCCACATAGCACCTGGCTTGGTTGCACACCTCCTGGGTTTCCTTATTGGTTTAATTAATCCAAGAACATGCTAATGTACCTCAGTGTCTCTCATTATACCATGATTTAAAATTAGAATGTTAATTAAAGTTTAGTTCCTCGTATACAGATGTAGGATCTTAATTTGATCACTCTTTTGTTGCTGAGAATTCCTGCACAGCAGGAAATGCAAACTTGTAGTGTATTCAAGGTTTAAAAAGGCTTCTAAAGTTTGTAATTTCCACTTTTTAAAATGTCAGGTTTGATTTGCCCTAACACAAAATGTATCTATTTTTTTCTCCATTAATTATAATCCACATAATAGTTCACATTGCCTGTTGCTGCAAGATTATTTTCCTGCTGTAGAAAACTGGCTCAAATTAAGATCCTACATCAGTATGATCATGACCCTACAAAGGAATACCAAATGTATACTACTGCACTACAGAATGTAGGCTATTAAATCCTGAAAGGTTGGCTAACATAGAATATTAAGGGGAATAAGGAATAACTAAACATTTGGATTATTCTCAGTGAGACACGTTTGCCTAATTTCTAATGGATTAATTATTAAACTATGATACCCATGTAGCTCCACTTCCTCAGCAGCAGCCATAGTGTCATCTCAGTGTACTAATGACACAATGTCAGTAAGTGATAGAGAGGACGGGGGTGATGCGGTGTAGTTGAGGCATCCATATAGCCAGTAGAGACTAGTGAAAGCCAGCCAGCATCACCCCGGGCGAGACAAATCTCATTTGCAGCATTACCAGGCTCTTTGGTATGCGAGAGGGCTGAAGAAAAGCCTTACTTGTGACTGTAACAGCGTGGCTTCCCTCCCTCGCTGCTCTCAGGCTGTAGAGATGTAAAGAAAACTGTTATGGGGTGGATTAGTGGAGGAGATTCGTTACCGTTCTGCTGATGTCGTTATCAGAGTTCATCTGAAATGGAACAATAGAAAAAAGAAGACAAAATAAAATAATGACTGTTCAAATTGTATTGTATGCTCGTCAAAGAGTTGATACAGAATTACCAAGATGTGGTCTACAGGTTTTAGAGGTTTAAACTAGAATCTAGATTTCAATCTGCACCATGTGAAACGAATTAACTACGAGTAGTGCATAATTCTTTGCAAGTGTTACATTTCCAAGAAATAAGAAACATGTTTTTATAAGCTGACTAATTACACAGTTATACACAATAATAAGGCTAATTGGGTATGGTGTGTGTTCATATTGTTGTCATCTCTATTATTTTCCAGTTGTGTGAGCTGAATGGTCTGAGAGGGTATTACATTATACATCAAGGCTATGGCCTAAGGTAGCTTATTAGTACATCCATGTTTAAGTAGCAGTAGGAATTCTCTAAGGAACCTATTAAAATGGATCATTCCAAGGAATTATTTGATCATGCCAGTGAACCCCCAGTGACATTTTCATGCATTTTGAAACTGCATCCATAAGAAATACTTCAGCTGTTTCAGTATTGAGTGCATTAGAACTGGAAAACTTTTGTGTGGTAACAAATTATGTTGAAAACTAAAGTGCAAGATCATTGTTTTATTTGTTATGTTCTAAGAGAAAAGAGCAGTCAGATATCAGGCCTTTAACACAGACCCTACAGTAGATAGATGCAGTAGATCCCAATGATCTACAGTTTGCCTAATGTCAACTTCCAGTCAAATCTATACAAAATGTATGAAACATTCCCAAGTGTTCTGAGTAAATCAACAGAGTATTGATTATGTTATCAATCATAAGAAATATGAATGGTATAACTGACTAAACTTTCTCTTTCAGGTTCAGCATGAGGCCTTGTGAAGAACTGAACAGGCAAAGGTAGCTACTCGACGAAAAATAGTAATTGAACAACAACCTCCTCAGAACAGGAACAACAAACAGCTACAGTATAGCACCTGGAATACAAGAACACGTACGGAGCAGAGAACTGGACCAAGGTGTCCAGGATTATGCCAATCTAGTCAGAATCATCTGAAGGATTTTTCTGCAACAGTGCTGATTTGGCTGTAGCGTCTCAGCTGTATCATGGCTGACCCTTACCAGAACAATGTGTACCACCATGGAGGAGGTGACCCCTACGGCACCTACGGAGAGGGAGGAGGCCAGGAGGGCTATGGTTACCAGGGCGAGTCCTACCCTCAGGAGGAGGATGCAGCCAGCGATGCCACGGAGGGCCATGATGACGAGGACCAGATGTATGAGGGGGAGTACCAGGGGATCCCGCACCCTGACGAGGTGAAAGCGGCCCAGAGGGCAGCGAGGGCCAAGGCCAGGCAGGCTCAGGAAGGGGCCACGGAGCTCGAGGAGCTGGCTGAGCAGTATGAGGACATCATGGAGGACTGTGGGCATGGACGGTTCCAGTGGACCCTGTTTATAGTGCTGGGCCTGGCTCTCATGGCTGATGGGGTGGAGTGCTTTGTGGTGGGGTTCGTGCTGCCCAGCGCTGAGAAGGACATGTGCTTATCCAATGGAGAGAAAGGCATGCTAGGTGAGTCATGGCTAAATGCCAATACTTGTTGGAAGACATACAGCCCATACTAGCCCTTTTACAATGTCTGGGTCAACTGATTCCAGCCAACAGCAGCCTGGCAGTCAATACTAGCCAGCAGATACTCCGTAAATTAGAAATGTTCTCAAATTAGCTAATGGCACAGTCGATTTCAAGATTAATCTGTTGGCTTTTCATGCTCTACTGGACGTCAATATATTCCTGCTTAGTGAAGCAGGTGGGAAATGTATGATCCGTTTCCCCACAGCAAATAACACATTCTTTTTGGCAACCAGAACGGGTCTGCGGTATGCCACCAATCACACTGATTGAGACTATGCAGCATTTTGTTGGCCCATGTCTGAGGGAAATGGGGTCCTCTTTCCAGCCACCTTAATAACAGCAGCTAGCTCTATATGCATGTCAGATGAGTTCACAAAAGTTCTGAACGGTTCCTCTCAGAGACTGACAGAGATTTTCAGTTCTTTTAGATAGGCAAACATTTATCAAGCCTTTGAGTAGAAAACTTTGAACATTTGAATGTGTTGTAATAAAGATAAATCAAACTAGACATGAGAAAATGAGGTTGAGAATAGGACGTCTTTGAAGAGTGGGACACATTGTTCTAGTGCAGTGGTGAATTACTAATTCAGAGTTAACACCGCGAGACAAGTCCTTCACTTTGAAGCGTGTGGTTGGAAGCTGTCCAAGGAGACAAATATCTGGGATGAGAGGGCAGTTTTTTCACCCACTCCCCAGCCAGCAGCCTCCTCCCAGCAGCCACAGGCAGGCTGTACTGACAGTACTGAGTCAGCAGGTGGCTGAGGAGAGGAGATCGATAGCCACTCTACTGACCTTGCGTCTAGGATACGTACTATTCGCCTGCTGCTTCACTTCCCTTGGCTAACTATGCTGCAGCAATCACAATCACAAGCAACTTTTATTCACTACACTGTACATTCTGCAGCCCTCACATCTCAGATTGTCTGACATGCCCAAAGTAATGGCACTTCGAGGATAAATAATGTTTTGAATTGAATTAAATTGAATAGGTATGGTGGTGTCAGGGTTCTTTTAGGTACTCGGAAGAAACATGATATGCTGATCACAGTTGAACATCTCCTGTAGCATCTCCTTTTAAAATGATTAAGTTAGCAGCTTTTCTGTTTTGGTGTGGCATGATTGGAAATTCATAGTCAGACAGCCTATTAGTTATTCACTATCTCATCTTGCCCTAAATGCTGCTCTTTACAGTCATTTCATCTACATATTTTAGTCCAAATTTACAGAATATACTCTGGTTTATCTCAAGGGTTTCTATGTTGACTTCCTAACTATAATCAATCAGTTTCAATGGGACTGAAATATGAAATGCCTCTAATTCACACTTTCACTGTGATCACCACTGCATACATTCTGAATCAATGGATGTAAGCTGTCCAATCAGAAGGCAGAGTGGCAGCAGTGTCACTGTCCTTCGGGGAGAGGAGGGTGGGGGATTGGTCCTCTTCTCCATATGCTTATCCGGTGATGGCAGGCCCGTGCCTTCGCTCTCACACCAGTCATCACCCACCCCCACCCCCCATGGCAGTGCCATCTGCAGTGACCTCGTGGCCCAGAGCGTGATGCCAGGCTTTGGCATTAGGCACATTGATAAATGTAGTGATTTTTGGAAGATTCTTCCCCAGTGATACATGGGTATGGTTGATAGGCTATATGTAAGCTGAGGAAAGCTTTAGGTGTACATGTACAGTGCATAGAAAAGTGACACAGAAAAGTACTGGAATGGTACTTATCTGGGGCTTAAATGAATAGACTTTATCTGAAATGACTGTACTTGCTTACTGAGGCACAAACACAGCCAACTACAGGATTCTATCGAATTTCAGCATTTACATGAACTAAATGAAAAGTATACTTGACACAGGCTTTCATTATATGCTAAAAATACTTGTTCCAGCCAAGCTTTGCTAGATGGACAAAGGTACACATTAAATAGTATGTTCCACAAGAGACACCCCAGGATAAGAGCGTCTGCTAAATGACTAAAATGTAAATGTAAGTAAAAACACCTAAATCATTATGACATCTAAATAGCATCCCTGTTACCATTGTTAAGGCTTCACAAAAGACCACTCAAGGCTGTTACATTTGACCAAAAACACACTTTCTGTCATTACCTTAGAAACACGATTTTACCTCTCTGACCTAGCCCTTGAGAGACAGAATGCAGAGTACAAAAAATGGGAATAAACATGTACAACTATTCCACTAAGTGTTTGTCTTTGAGTGTGTCCAATTAAACATATTTTTTATTACACTAATTATTACACTGAGAGATTTCTCAATACTGTCCATAGGACATTGCCCCTCTCAGGAGAGATGGACAAGCCTGTCCCCTGGTGGACAACACCAAAAGTGTCACCAATGTCCAGCTATCCCGATCTACTGGGGGTCTTTTAGTAGTTGAGCAATTCAAGAACAACACAGTATATTGTATGTTCCCTGAAATACAATGCTGTGATCCATAAAAACACAACCAGAATGTATGGTCATCTCAACAGTGTGTTGAGTGGAATCTGCCTTCCACTTTATTCACTGAGATCAAATCACTAGATAAAGGTCTGCTAGTGAACTGTAGCTGTGCAGGTCTCTGACTGTGTCTGGCCTCTCTCTCTCCTGCAGGTTTGATAGTGTTCCTGGGCATGATGGTTGGGGCGTTCATCTGGGGCGGCATGGCAGACAAACTGGGCCGCCGGAGGTGTCTGATCTGGGCCCTCACCATCAACTGTATCTTCGCCTTCCTCTCCTCCTTCGCCCAGGGATACGGCTTCTTCCTCTTCTTTAGGCTCTTCTCTGGCATCGGGTAAGAAAGACCGCCGTCTATGGAGAAAGTGGAAACAAGGGATGAGTTGCTTCTTGAAGGAATTTGGGTTGTAACTGGGATTGGGACCTAATGTGAACATGATCCTCTCCACCTGATACAATGTGTACTGTACAATGTTAAGTATGTGTTGCACAATGTGATGCTTACACAGCTTCTAAAGAACTACAACAAAGAAGAAATAGTTAGTGCAGGACAGCAGGTCAGCACATTCAGAGCTTTCCTCCTCCTACAACAATGCAGCACTGTGCTGTCCCAGATATCATTGTTCCACAGGGATGTAAGCCTATGCATACTGACTCCAGAATCAGGTCAAAGCTACATTATGCAAAAACATTGTGTTGTGTAAAAAGAAAAGCTCAGCTGCAGGAGCATGGTGTATTTGGCTAATGTTTATCCATGTTTGGATATTTGTGGAAGCTCAAACTACTGACAAAAATCTGATTTAAAAAAGACTATTCTCCTGCATGTCTCCTGCTCCAAAAATATATTACAGTACCAGTAATTTGCTCTCTAGATTTGTATTGAAATACATCTGTGTTGGGTCTCTTTTGCTGAAAACGTGATTTTCCTGTCTTTTATAAATGTATATATTTCCACACTATGAGGTTGCAATAATACTGTACAATTGTGAGAATGATAATGCCCTTTGAGTGTAAGAGAAATTCTTTGAGATTGAGAAAAAAACATCTGCATTGGAAATTTTTAAATAAAGATAATAGTTGCAAGATTACACACCTCTTGTGTAGTCTACAATCTCAGTGAGTTCCTATAGTAATCCTGTGTTTCTCCCTTCAGCATCGGAGGCTCTGTCCCCATCGTCTACTCCTACTTCTCAGAGTTCCTGCAGATGGATAAGAGAGGGGAGCACCTGAGCTGGCTGTGTATGTTCTGGATGGTGGGAGGCATCTATGCCTCCTTCACTGCCTGGGGCATCATCCCTCGCTACGGTATAGTACACACTAAGCACTCAACAGGAAACTCTTACTAAACTATAGAGTTCATGACCTGGGATCAATATTATCTTACTTGCTAACATAAGCAAGTTCACCCAAGTACAGCTACAGTAGTCCCTGTATTGGATGTTATGTAAATGTGACCAGATTATAGCATATGTGTTGGGTTCATTAACTGGCTGATTGATTTTTAATAATATTAGTCTGTAAACGCACCAATAGACACATTGAGAGATGTTGGTTGTGTTATATTCCAAGCTCTTGAGTCTAGACACAGAGAATGAATAAGGATTGTGTTGTGGCTGTATTGTGTTCCAGGCTGGGGCTTCAGCATGGGAACAGAGTTCCAGTTCCACAGCTGGAGGGTGTTTGTGCTGGTCTGTGCCCTGCCTGCCATCACCTCTCTTGTGGGACTCATGTTCATGCCTGAGAGCCCCAGGTTCCTCCTGGAGGTAAGATCTGTTTTCTCCAAATAAAGATTGTTCGAAGATGAACAGTTCAGGAACGTTATACTCTGGGTTTAACATATTGTGTCAATCTTTTTTTTTTCTCCATAAATCAAAACTGATTTTGTTGAATAAAACAAAACGGATAAATACGTTTGTGGATTACTATCCTAAGGTTTTACTTAGAGTGTGTGGCTGTCTTTGTCAGAATGCCAAACATGACGAGGCCTGGATGATCTTGAAGAATGTCCATGACACCAACTGGAGGGCAAAGGGCCAGCCTGAGAAGGTCTTCCAGGTGAGTGGAGACACGACAACCGTTTGACACTAAATAACACGCTTTTCAGCGTCACAGAATATAATGAAACCTAACTAGAGAAGTGATCATAATTTCATTCCCCTCAGGTGACCCACATCAAGGCTCCTAAGACCAATGAGGATGAGTTCATTGAGATCCAGAGTGCCACAGGGACAGCTATACAGCGATGGGCCGTTCGAACCCTCACTCTGTGCAAACTGGTAGGCCCCAAAATGTTCTGAAAACAAACATATTACCTAATGAGACCAACATTAACACTAACAGGCTATTAGTATGTGACGTGTCACTGTGCCGTGTTTTCATTGCAGGTGCTGAAGAATGTTGCTTCTCTTTTGGGACCTGAGCTGAGACTGAGTACGCTGTTCATGGCCATCATCTGGTTCACCATGGCCTTCAGGTAAATATATGTACAATATATGTGATGCCAAAGAGGTAAGAATGTATAGTGTGTGCAGCTGATTGTAAATACACTATATATACAAAAGTATAAGGACAACCCTTCAAATTAGTGGATTCGGCTATTTCAGTCACACCCGTTGCTGACAGGTAAATATATGTACAATATATGTGATGCCAAACAGGTAAGAGTGTATGTATAGTGTGTGCAGCTGATTGTAAATATATAGTCTGCATCCCAAATGGCACCCTGTTCCCCTTATAGACCCTGGTCAAAAGTAGCACACTATAGAGAATAGGGTGCCATTTGGGAAGGAAACATACTGTATGTGTATTCTAACGTTGGTTGTCAATGTTCTCTTTACAATGGTCCAATAACTCTATTACCATTGTATTTCAGTTACTATGGACTGGGTGTGTGGTTCCCTGACATGATCAAATACCTGCAGCAAGAGGAGTACGAGTCCAAAGTCAAGGTGTTCCACAGAGAGAGAGTAGAACACTTCCACTTCAACTTCTCCCTGGAGAATCAGATCCACCGAGAGGGAGAATACATCAATGACAAGTATGTCACCTCTATCGCCCCCTTCTGGCCCTTCTGACTACTGCACCACAGGACCATGTGTAGTAGTATTACAGTCTGTTGATAATATCACAATGTAACATATCATTCTATGTAAGTATGGCACATATTATTTCATTCAAAATGCTACAGACAATTTTGAAGAGGGATAGTGCTGTCTGTCATTCTAGCATGTAATCATTAGTTAGCTGTGTGCCACTTTGTCAAAAAGTCAGGAGTCATGCTTTTGTGTTCCATCCCTTTAGGTTCATCAACATAGAGATGAAGTCTGTAAAGTTTGAGGATTCACTGTTTGAAGATTGTTACTTTGAGGACATCAAGTCCACTGAAACAATCTTTGAGAGCTGCACCATCAGATCCACCGTCTTCTATAACACAGGTGGGAGCCGCTGGAGGTGTTACAGTAGGCCAACCAATGCATCACATTGTTAACAAGTTTAACCCTTTGGAAAGTTTCCAAAAGAAAAAAAGGTTAAACGGAGATTGAACTTTTGCAATAATCAAGTCCTGCTCAATATGAATGAAACATTGTGACCATACAGTATGTAATGCATATCAACATCATCAATTACTATTGCTATGTTTCACTGTAAAAATACAGTACATATTGACCAATGGACTAAGAATTGCAAAGCCATGAATATTATTTATGTGTTATCAATGCCATTGTCACGTTTCCTCCAGACCTGTACGAGGAGAAGTTCATAGACTGTAAGCTGGAGAACACCACGTTCCTCCACAATAAGAAGGGCTGTCACCTGGACATTGACGAGGAGAACGACGTGCTCATCTACCTGGTCAGCTTCCTGGGGTCCCTGGCTGTTCTGCCCGGCAACATCATATCAGCTCTGTTCATGGAGAAGATAGGCAGGGTCAAAATGATAGGTGAGTAGGTCTGTATTGGACAATGTAAAATGGTACAAGGTTTCTTTCATTTTAGCTGTATTGGTTCTTCCAGTGCAGATACTGTGTAGAGCAGCTGCTCAGCTATTGCTCTGGGATTCTGCTCTGCAATTGTCAGATGAGAAAGGTGTTATGGAGTTATATCTATGGGTGTGAGCCTTGAAATATGATCAAGGAACATTGAAGTGTGAATTAATCGTACCGCACACCTCACTGCTCCATCTCCCTCTGCATACGATGTGCCACTGAGCTGAGCGACATCCTACTGTGAGCCCAATCTGCTCCACTCTTTGCAGGCCTCTCCATGCTGACCTCAGCTGGGTGCACCTTCTTCCTGTTCCTAAGCTTCAGTCAGGCGGCCATCATAGCCTGGCAGTGTCTGTTCTGTGGGGTCAGCGTGGCAGCATGGAACGGCATCGAGGTCATCACAGTGGAACTCTACCCAGCCTCCAAAAGGTACAGTACAGCAATTTCTTAGATTAGGCCTATTGGAAATAGCTAGCTTGTACTATATTGTATGATAGATTTTATACTCTTAGACTATGTCAACCCATGATCATAAAGTTAAAGACTAAGACAAGAATGTTTCCTGTGGTTATTTAACCTGTGTCCCTAACCTCCTCCCACAGAGCCACAGCATTTGGGGTGTTGAATGCCCTCTGTAAACTGGCTGCTATCCTGGGTAGCTCCATCTTTGCCTCCTTTGTGGGGGTCACCAAAATCGTCCCCATTCTCCTCTCCTGCGCTGCTCTGGTGTGCGGAGGCCTGGTGGCCCTCAAGCTGCCCGAGACCCGGGAGAAGATCCTCCAGTGAGGTGGTCATACTGGCCAAAGGTCAAAGGTGCCAGGAGCAACCTTTACAGGCGGAGTTACTCTGAGAGACACACAGGCATTAAGCAAGATTGGCTGTAACCAACAGGAATTGATGGGAGTTTGTTCCAGCAAGATATAGAGAACCTTTAATAACATGCTAACTAACAGTGTGCTTCATTGTCTGTTCTGTCTCAACAGTTATGATGTGTTTGGAGTGAAATGCTTTAAAATCTACTCTGTATCTAAATTATTCTTGGGACCAAATGGACATTTTCTCTAATTCAATCGCTTATCTATCAGTCTATGAATCATAATTTGCCCCACTAATTTATGATACTGTACATCTGAGACAAGATGAGAAATCTGAAAATATGTAAACCTCTTGATGGAGGTAACCAGAAACAGATATCTGGTCATGGAAATCTTTCTCCAGCGCCATTTTGAATTCACATACTGTTGTTGTTTTGTTTTGCTAGAATTATGTTTTTTTTTATCTTAGCCCTGCCTCAATGAATAGTTCTCAACTCACACCCTCTACTTTCTCACCAAAATGTAAACTCTATAGACTGTAGCACTCCCTCCTTTTCTTGTCTTGTGTTACAATCAACCTACAGTATGAAGTGGGAGAACAGCAAATATCCTTCACATCTGAACTGTATTTTTGAATCCCTACCTTTAGTTGAGTGTTGAGGTTATAGTCCATCAACCAGAACTATACTCAGTAGGTCGCCGCAAAAAGAACAACATAGAACTGCAATTTACTGCAGTATTTGCCCGTTCCATTCTAATATTATTTTCCTGCTGAATATGCACCTGGAAACCACAATAAATTGATTTCGTTGTTGATTTTTGCGTTCCAACTTCACAATTGAATCTAACTAGCAACTTCATTTAGCAAACTGGTTGGTCCTACAGTGTGTTTGTGTGCTTGCTTGTAAATGTTATCAGTTCAGCCTCCATGTTACTGCACATGATGCTCTTGGCTGTGCTTTATTTGTGTTGTCTATGCGATGACATCTTTCGTTTTTCTGTTTAAGGGATACCACATAGAAATACGAAAACAAATGTGTTTTACAATATGTGGGGGAAATGCTCTTATTGCATTGGGGATGGGGGATTCACTAAAGCACACAGTGCTGTTACTGATAACTGTCGACTGAGTTGCATGTGTGTTATCTACCTACCAGGTAATGTTTCTGTGTTCAAAAAGCAAGTAGTCTGAATTATGTTTACTGTCTGTGTGTCAATGTAAATAACTGACTGGATTGTAGCCTGTACCGGCTTGAATTAACAATCACTTTGGTTAGTTTAGGCATTCATAAGCTGTTTCTTGTCAAGTATTGAGGAGCCAATTGCATTTCTTTCCAATACAAAACAAGACTTTTGCCAATTATTTCTGTCATACTAACAATCGAACAGTTACACAAACTGAGGCTTTGCTGTTGAAACACCATTTTGCATTTGACTATCCTTATTGTATCTACACTATATTTGCAAAATAACACCTATTTTTAAATAGAGAAAGTTACAAAGCAAGAATGATGTTGAATTATCCTTCTTCAAAGTGTAGCTTTGGTTTCCTTTAGCTAGTCTATAGTGCACCCTCACCATTATATGGAGGTAGACACAATCACATTATTGCCAATACATTGTGTAGTTATACCTCTCTTGAAAACATACACTGATCTGTTATCAATTGAGCTGCAGGAAGTTATCAGCCTTACCTGAACGCAACGATTCTGTCGAGCCATAAGGTACATGGTGTTTTCAATAAAACCTTGTTTCTTTCTCAAGCATGCGTTTGAACTGTACTGCCACCATTATCAAGGGATTGGCTTATGAATACAGTTCTTGGGTGTTTTATTTTTCTGAGTTAGTTTGTGTCTCTGTCATTGTAAAACAGAAAGCCATACTTCGTTCTTTGATTTTTATATTTTTATCTCAAAATATTGTCTGTCATGGTAAAAAGACATTCATTTCACGTACATGTTCTGTTTTTTGTTTTGTAACTGTGAAAAAATGAAAGGAATAAAATAAATCTATCAGTGTACTGTGAGCGATGTCTGGGTTCTACTTGGCATCAGGGCTGTAGTAGGCCACTCGGTGGTAGACAGACCTGGTTGGTTCAGGTTTCTCCAGTGATATGAAAGGTGTAAAACAGAAGTGTGAGGAACTACACACCTCTCATAACTCATTCATTCTGAGTTGGAAACATGCTCTCTTTACGCTTGGTTGAGATGTTTTGAGTCAGACATAGAACCCATTCAGGGCTTCCCGTCATTTCACCTGTTTTGAGTGGGGGGACATTGGGGGCGTGGGGGATGGTCCTCAACAGAGAGCATTGGAGGGGGGGGGGGGTAGATTTGTGGGTGGTGATGTTTACTCTACCAGAGGTGTGAAACAACTCACTTCCCCAGGGATAACATCAGGACACCAGGTCCAGTACAAGAGTAAAAATGGGAGCTGTGGATATTTATAGGTAGGGTAGGACAGAATGCTAACAGTGAATCAATCTTATTCCTTGGTTTGCATATTGTATGAGGAATTGTAAACAATTATACAGGACATAATAGAGGTCAACTGCTATACAAATATGAATCTGGCGAAAATCCATCACAGCTCTTCTCTAAAACCACAAACTGGGTTTTAAGGTGAAAACTACACTCACTGCTTTAAACAACTGGAGTGCTGAGTGTGCGTCCCTGGGAAGGCTCGGGCCATGTCAGGCAGGCTGAGGGTTCTGGTTGCGTGGGGAGCGGACAGGACAGGTGCCAGCTCTCTCTAGCTGTCACTCTGAGGTGCCAAAGGCCACCACAGGCCCACTGGCCTCACCCCCGCAGGCCCACTGGCCCCTCTCACCCACACCAGGGTGAGCCTAGGGTCACTCAGGTCCAGGGCAGCTGGAGATGGGGATGGATGCCAACCATTGCATTGTACAATGTATACAATAATGGAACACTGTAATACAGATATGCTACTGTCTCCACTTAGAAATGTGACTGATAATGATTCAACTGTGGCAAACATTTTCAAGTATTTGGTAGCTCAACTCTCAAATTAATACATTTTATTTTGTGGTTTAAATGTTTAGTCACATAAGGAAATGCAAAGTTGCGTGTACAGCACAGTGCTGTAGGTCAATTTTTTCACAATGTCCAGATCTAGATATTCTATTCACAGCAATTTACTTGATCTATCTAGAGAGGGAAATTCAGTGATCTTGACCTGTTCACCAAGGGTCAAGATGGGTAATGTAATTCCCAATCCTGCACTGTTTCCCATGGAGATGTTCACGAGTTAACAGGACCAGGCTTCAGTATAAACATAAATGTGTGAGGAAAACCCCCACGGACCTCCCCCAGTCTCAGTCCCAGTGCATCAGGTGGGCAACTCATCCATTGCTTATGGTGCAACTAGTGGTTGTGTATGTATGTGTGTTGGGGGGTGGGGAGTACAGATTTGTCATTCAGGATAAATGTACATATCTACTATGGCAGCCTAAAACCACAACATGACAGGTCAACTGGTCACAGAGTACACCAGTGGTCAGTTTAGTGGTTCAGAGAAGAGTCAGGAGCGACTCTCTCACAGCAAAGGTGTCACTTGGCACCTCTAATGAGCTCAGCTAAAGACACAACCACTGTTCTCTAGACTGTGTGAACCAGTAATGGAAAGTCACGCCACACGTGTAACTAGGACTAAAGAGATAATCAAACATAATTAAGACCTTTCATAGTGGGCTGTGATGACCAAAATGTACATATAATGCCATCACCAGGAGATGGTTTACTGTAACTGACTTATATTATTATAACTTATATTATGCAGCAGTCTTTCAATTTTCCCCATGTTATAGCAATGATTAATGATCAATTGATGGATTGATTGACAATTATTATAAATATTAAATAATATTTAATTGAATGTGTAATAATGGCTCTATATGCATAAGAATGTGTTTCAGTCATTGTGTTTGGAGCAAATATTTCCCACCTCATGAAAAATGAAGGCAGTCAATGAATCTGAATATTCAGCCTCTGAACCACTATGGTCTAAATTAATACATTATGAACAGTGGCCTTATTCAAATCAGTGGCTGATGTAACTCATGAGGGAAATTATTACAAAAACAGATGACTTTGGAGGCCACAATGGCAAAAACATTATGAGAGCGAAAATGTTTATTGTTTTGTTCAGGGGTCAAATTTGACACGTCTCTCTCTGAGCAGCAGTAGATGTATTATTTCCCAGCAGAGGACTGCATGGTGGTGCCTCTCTCTGTCCAGTAGGGCTGAGCTCTGAGAAGCTCTGGGAAGCCATGTTGATGGCCTGAGAGGGCCTGCAGAGGTGTCACTTCACACCTCCGACTCCTGCATAAAACCAGGGCTCTCCTCTTCACCAGCCCACAGGCCAAGCTATTCAGTTCAGTCCTACCGCCCAACACACAGGACAGGACACAGACAGACAGCATGGATATGTCTGCCCCTCTACTGAGCGACTATGGAGTTGGTGTTCAGTACCACTGGAGTTATCCCAGTTCGGACTCTGAGTTCTATAACATCTCTTCTCCAGAGACCTGTATCCTCTCCCCTTCCGCCTGTATGGACTTCTCATCCTCCTGCCTGCCTCGAGGGACTGCCACAGAACCTCACAGGTCCACACACTCTGGAGGAGCCAAGGCATCCGCTTCCCCATCCTCCAGTGACGAGGGAGGACTCTCTGGAGGGAGGATTCGAAAGAACCGCTCCAAGAACCCCAGCAAGCAGAGACAGAGCGCCAGCGAGAAGGAGAAGCTGAGAATGAGAGACCTGACCAAAGCCCTCAACCACCTCAGGACCTACCTGCCCCCCTCTGTGGCTCCGGCTGGACAGACTCTGACCAAGATCGAGACCCTGCGCCTCACCATCGGCTACATCTCCCACCTGTCGGCCCAGCTAGAGCTCAGCGAGGATGCTGTGTGTCAGAGGAAGGAGCTGAACCTCAACGTGTCGGGACACCATGTATCACCTCAACAAGACTCTGTGGGGCTGTGCCAGTTCAACACCTCCTCCTCAGGGTACTGCTGGGGAGAGGAGGCAGAGGTGGGGAGACGTGCAGGGCAGGAACAGATCCTCCACACAGCTACGTCCACGTACCCACTCCACAACACTGGGATGGAGAGGCACCCACTCAGCAGTGAGATGGACATGTGTGCTTACGACAACAGCTTCAACTCCAGTGTGGATTCGCTGTTGGAATCGCCAGAGTACGCAGAGACTGTACAGCCATGTCAGGTATGTACATATTCAATGTACAGTATTTAGATGTTCAAATAATTGTTCATTTATATGGTCAATGACACGTTTTAATACTGTTAATTTTGTTTACTCACAATAATTGGTATCACTCACTGCAGTTTTTCAGTTTGATGGTTTTAAGGAAATTAGAAAATCTGTTTGAACCAGTAAACAAAATCTTGCTTTTTTTCTCCTTCAGATATACAGAAAAGATGTCCACTATCAGAACATTCCTCAAGACTTCTGGATGTAACAGAAGTCCTCATCAAGATAATCTACTGTCCAGTCATAGATGTTTACTTTGATCTACAGAGTATTTATATGTTAATATAACTAGTTTCTTTTACTTTCAAATTCTAGATTTAATACAACGATTATTGTAAATACAAAACTATTCTTATATGTATAATAACGTATTAACTAATAACTAACTAATGTGTCTTTGGCTATTCCTGTATTTAAAAATAAGGGTTTTGTAAGTAAAGTAGTAAGTTTGTAAGCAAAGAAGCATTTTAAGTTGTAAGTAACAGTTTTGAAATTTTAATGGAATATTCTGTACTTTTACTTTCAAGAGAATCTACTGTCCAGTCATAGACATTTCAATCTACAGAGTATTTATATGTTAATATAACTAGTTTATTTTACTTTCAAATTCTAGATTTTATACAACAATCATTGTAAATACAAAACGTATTCTAATAAGAATAATAAAATATTAACTAATAACTGTGTCTTTGGCTATTCCTGTATTTGAAAGTAAGGGTTTTGTAAGTAAAGTAGTACGTTTGTAAGTAAAGAAGCATTTTAAATTGTAAGTAACAGTATTTAAATATGAATGGAATATTCTGTACTTTTTCTGTCTAGACAGTTTTACTTCCTCCATTTAATTCAGCCCACACCACCAGACATTTACAGAGGCATATGACACGGAGTGACACGGAGTGCATTTTGTGATTATGGAACACAGCATGGCAGACTTGGCAGTGTTATAACTGCTTTGATAGAAATAAACTCGAACAGTCCGGCTGCCAGCTAACATTACCACAGCACCAATTGAAAGAAAGAGAGCCCTCTGTTGGTCAAAAACGTCATCTTTTTATTTTCAAAACAATATTTAAAATGCATTAGTAGCCTATATCTTCCACATCAGTACACACACTGAGGAAAGAATAACATATCCAAGAATGACTATGAAACACAGGCCATCAATCAGTCAACTAAACTTTTGACTCCATTAAATAGTTATCATGCAGATGTAGGATCTTAATTTGAGCTACAGCAGGAAAATAATCCTGCAGCAACAGGAAATGTGAATTATAGATTTACATTTTAGTCATTTAGCAGACGCTCTTATCCAGAGTGACTTACAGTTAGTGAGTAAATACATTTTCATACTGGCCCCCCGTGGGAAACGAACCCACAACCCTGGCGTTGCACGCACCATGCTCTACCAACTGAGCTACACGGGGCCCCAATTATTATGTGGATTATAATTAATGGACATATTTGTAGGGGTTGATAAATTTTTCATTAGGGCAAATCACGTCTGAAATTTCAAAGTGGAAATTACAAACTTTAGAATACTTTTTAAAACTCAAATACACTACAAGTTTGCATTTCCTGCTCAGCAGAAAAATGATCTGCAACAAAAGAGTGATCAAATTAAGATCCTACATCTTTACATACCAAAGCTTCAATAGTTGGTCTATTGTATGCTTCCACACAATCTCCTTAACTTCAGAACACTGTTTATCTTTCACAGAGAAGCTATAAGTCAGGACCCACACTCCTCTCTGACATTAGCATTCTAATGACCCCTCTTATCCTAGTCCAGATAAAGAGCTTAGCACTCCCATGCTAATACAAGGATGAGAGAGTGTTGGTTAGAGCCCTGGTGGGCAACAGTAAACAACAAGCTATTATTTTCCCTGGATCATTTTTTTTTTTTTTTATCAGATGCATGGAGAATAATTGATTAACTCCTTCACTTATCTAGAGTGAAACCATGGTTGCTGGTAACCTGTTGGTAGAACTGACTATATTATAGCGAAATACAGGTAGATCAAGATGGATCAAGTGCCATGTCGAGGTCAGTGTGCCATCTTGTGGCAGAGACTGAAAGTTCTGCCATTCCACACACATGTCACAATATCAGCTATGTATCAGTTTTGTATCAGTATCAACTATGTATCAGCTATGTAACATGGGGCAGCGCATAATTGGCCCAGCGTCGTCCAGGGTAGGGGAGGGAATGGCCGGCAGGGATGTAGCTCAGTTGGTAGAGCATGGCGTTTGCAACGCCAGGGTTGTGGGTTCGATTCCCACGGGGGGCCAGTATTAAAAAATAATAATGTATGCACTCACTAACTGTAGTCGCTCTGGATAAGAGCGTCTGCTAAATGACTAAAATGTAACAGTATCAACTATGTATCAGCTATGTAACAGTATAAACTATGTATCAACTATGTAACAGTATCAACTTTGTAACAGCTAGGTATCAACAGCTATGTCTCTGCCATGCATTAGCTATAATCTATCATCTATGCATAATCTATGTATCAGCTGCCAGTATGTATCAGCTATGTCTCAAGCTGCAGAGAGACAAACCGATCCAGGTCATTACTGATCCTCAGGTCAATAGAGACACTGCTTTGGCACCTCTCAGTCTGGAGAGAGAGTATGATCCCTTATCTTAACAATCCCCTAATGTGAGAGAGGATGAGCTAGGATATGCATATCACTGGAGAGGTGAGGTGTTGGATATCTGAGGAATAAAAATTAAGCGCCTATTTCATCAGCTTGCCAAGGGCATTTGATGTGTTAATAGAAAGCTTAATAAACCAGCCAAACACACCGGCAAAGGAAAAGATTTAGACTTATGTTGTTTACCTGAAATAAACAATTCACCATGCAGGCTGGGAATAAAACTAGTTCATGTTGATTTGCTAATCAACCTAAGATCATAAAGATGGAAAGATTTTATTATGCTTATCCCTTATTCTGTTTAAAGAGACCATCATCACATATGTTAGAAATCTCTTTTAGAGTTGAGAAGTACACTGCTCAAAAAAATAAAGGGAACACTTAAACAACACATCTTAGATCTGAATGAATGAAATAATCTTATTAAATACTTTTTTCTTTACATAGTTGAATGTGCTGACAACAAAATCACACAAAAATTATCAATGGAAATCAAATGTATCAACCCATGGAGGTCTGGATTTGGAGTCACCCTCAAAATTAAAGTGGAAAACCACACTACAGGCTGATCCAACTTTGATGTAATGTCCTTAAAACAAGTCAAAATGAGGCTCAGTAGTGTGTGTGGCCTCCACGTGCCTGTATGACCTCCCTACAACGCCTGGGCATGCTCCTGATGAGGTGGCGGATGGTCTCCTGAGGGATCTCCTCCCAGACCTGGACTAAAGCATCCGCCAACTCCTGGACAGTCTGTGGTGCAACGTGGCGTTGGTGGATGGAGCGAGACATGATGTCCCAGATGTGCTCAATTGGATTCAGGTCTGGGGAACGGGCGGGCCAGTCCATAGCATCAATGCCTTCTTGCATTAGGAGGAACCCAGGGCCAACCGCACCAGCATATGGTCTCACAAGGGGTCTGAGGATCTCATCTCGGTACCTAATGGCAGTCAGGCTACTTCTGGCGAGCACATGGAGAGCTGTGCGGCCCCCCAAAGAAATGCCACCCCACACCATGACTGACCCACCGCCAAACCGGTCATGCTGGAGGATGTTGCAGACAGCAGAACGTTCTCCACGGCGTCTCCAGACTCTGTCACGTCTGTCACATGTGCTCAGTGTGGCACAGGGCGCCAGTGGCGAATTTGCCAATCTTGGTGTTCTCTGGCAAATGCCAAACGTCCAAACGTCCTGTGAACGTCGGGCCCTCATACCACCCTCATTGAGTCTGTTTCTGACCGTTTGAGCAGACACATGCACATTTGTGGCCTGCTGGAGGTCATTTTGCAGGGCTCTGGTAGTGCTCCTCCTGCTCCTCCTTGCACAAAGGCGGAGGTAGCGGTCCTGCTGCTGGGTTGTTGCCCTCCTACGGCCTCCTCCACGTCTCCTGATGTACTGGCCTGTCTCCTGGTAGCGCCTCCATGCTCTGGACACTACACTGACAGACACAGCAAACCTTCTTGCCACAGCTCGCATTGATGTGCCATCCTGGATGAGCTGCACTACCTGAGCCACTTGTGTGGGTTGTAGACTCCGTCTCATGCTACCACTAGAGTGAAAGCACCTCCAGCATTCAAAAGTGACCAAAACATCAGCCAGGAAGCATAGGAACTGAGAAGTGGTCTGTGGTCACCACCTGCAAAACCAGTCCTTTATTGGGGGTGTCTTGCTAATTGCCTATAATTTCCACCTGTTGTCTATTCCATTTGCACAACAGCATGTGACATTTATTGTCAATCAGTGTTGCTTCCTAAGTGGACAGTTTGATTTCACAGAAGTGTGATTGACTTGGAGTTACATTGTGTTGTTTAAGTGTTCCCTTTATTTTTTTGAGCAGTGTATATACAAGAAAATAAAAATATACACTACCATTCAAAAGTTTGGGATCACTTAGAAATGTCCTTGTTTTCGAAAGAAAAGCTATTTGTTGTCCATTAAAATGACATCAAATTGATCAGAAATACAGTGTAGACATTGTTCATGTTGTAAATGGCTATTGTAGCTGGAAACGGCTGATTTTTAATGGAATATCTACATAGGCGTACAGAGGCCCATTATCAGCAACCATCAGTCCTGTGTTCCTTTCTTCTGAAACTCGTCAGTCTATTCTGTGCAAACATAATTGCAAAAGGGTTTTCTAATGATCAATTAGCCTTCTAAAATGATAAACTTGGATTAGCAAACACAACGTGCCATTGGAACACAGGACTGATGGTTGCTGATAATGGGCCTCTGTACAGTTGAAGTCTATGTACAGTAGAAGTCGGAAGTTTACACACACTTTGGTTGGAGTCATTAAAACTTGTTTTTCAACCACTCCACAAATGTATTGTTAACAAACTATAGTATTGGCAAGTCGGTTAGGACATCTACTTTGTGCATGACACAAGTAGTTTTTCCAACAATTGTTTACAGACAGATTATTTCACTTATAATTCACTGTATCTCAATTCCAGTGGGTCAGAAGTTTACATACACTAAGTTGACTGTGCCTTTAAACAGCTTGGAAAATTCCAGAAAATGATGTCATGGCTTTAGAAGCTTCTGATAGGCTAATTGACATCATTTGAGTCAATTGGAGGTGTACCTGTGGATGTATTTCAAGGCCTACCTTCAATCTCAGTGCCTCTTTGCTTGACATCATGGGAAAATCAAAAGACCTCAGGATAAAAAATGGTAGACCTCCACAAGTCTGGTTCATCCTTGGGAACAATTTCCAAACGCCTGAAGGTACCACGTTCATCTGTACAAACAATATCTATATCCACAGTAAAACGTGTCCTATATCGACATAACCCGAAAGGCCGCTCAGCAAGGAAGAAGCCACTGCTCCAAAACTGCCATAAAAACCGCCAGACTACGGTTTGCAACTGCACATGGGGACAAAGATCGTACTTTTTGGAGAAATGTCCTCTGGTCTGATGAAACAAAAATAGAACTGTTTGGCCATAATGACCATCGTTATGTTTGGAGGAAAAAGGGGGGCCTTTCAAGCCCAAGACCACCATCCCAACCGTGAAGCACGGGCATGGCAGCATCATGCTGTGGGGGTGCTTTGCTGCAGGAGGGACTGGTGCCCTTCACAAAATAGATGGCATCATGAGGAAGGAAAATTATGTGGATATATTGAAGCAACTTCTCAAAACATCAGTCAGGAAGTTAAAGCTTGGTCGCAAATGGGTCTTCCAAATGGACAATGACCCCAAGCATACTTCCAAAGTTGTGGCAAAATGGCTTAAGGACAACAAAGTTGTATTGACAACAAAAAGGTATTGGAGTGGCCATCACAAAGCCCTAACCTCAATCCTATAGAAAATGTGTGGGCAGAACTGAAAAAGCGTGTGCGAGCAAGGAGGCCTACAAACCTGACTCAGTTACACCAGTTCTGTCAGGAGGAATGAGCCAAAATTCACCCAACTTATTGTGGGAAGCTTGTGGAAGGCTACCCGAAACGTTTGACCCAAGTTAAACAATTTAAAGGCAATGCTACCAAATACTAATTGAGTGTATGTAAACTTCTGACCCACTGGGAATGTGATGAAATAAATAAAAGCTGAAATAAATCACTCTCTACTATTATTCTGATATTTCACATTCTTAAAATAGAGTGGTGATCCTAATTAATAATAATATAATAATAATAATATGCCATTTAGCAGACGCTTTTATCCAAAGCGACTTACAGTCATGCGCGCATACATTTTTTTTTGTGTATGGGTGGTCCCGGGGATCGAACCCACTACCTTGGCGTTACAAGCGCCGTGCTCTACCAGCTGAGCTACAGAGGACCAGCTGGATAATTGACCTTAGACAGTGATTTTTTACTAGGATTAAATGTCAGGAATTGTGAAAAACTCAGTTTAAATGTATTTGGCTCAGGTGTATGTAAACTTCCGACTTCAACTGTAGATATTCCATAAAAAATCAGCCGTTTCCAGCTACATTAGCCATTTACAACGTCTACACTGTATTTCTGATCAATTTGATGTTATTTTAATGGACAAAAAAATTGCTTTTCTTTCAAAAACAAGGACATTTCTAAGTGACCCAAACATGTTGAACAGTAGTGTACATTACCAGTCAAAAGTTTCCAGGGTTTTCCTTTATTTTTACTATTTTCTACATTGTAGAATAATAGTGAAGACATCAAGCCTATGAAATAATAATATACAGTGGGGAAAAAAATTATTTAGTCAGCCACCAATTGTGGAAAGATGAGAGAGGCCTGTAATTTTCATCATAGGTACACGTCAACTATGACAGACACATGGAGAAAAAAAAATCCAGAAAATCACATTGTAGGATTTTTAATGAATTTATTTGCAAATTATGGTGGAAAATAAGTATTTGGTCACCTACAAACAAGCAAGATTTCTGGCTCTCACAGACCTGTAACTTCTTCTTTAAGAGGCTCCTCTGTCCTCCACTCGTTACCTGTATTAATGGCACCTGTTTGAACTTGTTATCAGTATAAAAGACACCTGTCCACAACCTCAAACAGTCACACTCCAAACTCCACTATGGCCAAGACCAAAGAGCTGTCAAAGGACACCAGAAACAAAATTGTAGACCTGCACCAGGCTGGGAAGACTGAATCTGCAATAGGTAAGCAGCTTGGTTTGAAGAAATCAACTGTGGGAGCAATTATTAGGAAATGGAAGACATACAAGACCACTGATAATCTCCCTCGATCTGGGGCTCCACGCAAGATCTCACCCCGTGGGGTCAAAATGATCACAAGAACGGTGAGCAAAAATCCCAGAACCACACGGGGGGACCTAGTGAATGACCTGCAGAGAGCTGGGACCAAAGTAACAAAGCCTACCATCAGTAACACACTACGCCGCCAGGGACTCAAATCCTGCAGTGCCAGACGTGTCCCCCTGCTTAAGCCAGTACATGTCCAGGCCCGTCTGAAGTTTGCTAGAGTGCATTTGGATGATCCAGAAGAGGATTGGGAGAATGTCATATGGTCAGATGAAACCAAAATAGAACTTTTTGGTAAAAACTCAACTCATCGTGTTTGGAGGACAAAGAATGCTGAGTTGCATCCAAAGAACGCCATACCTACTGTGAAGCATGGGGGTGGAAACATCATGCTTTGGGGCTGTTTTTCTGCAAAGGGACCAGGACGACTGATCTGTGTAAAGTAAAGAATGAATGGGGCCATGTATCGTGAGATTTTGAGTGAAAACCTCCTTCCATCAGCAAGGGCATTGAAGATTAAACGTGGCTGGGTCTTTCAGCATGACAATGATCCCAAACACACCGCCCAGGCAACGAAGGAGTGGCTTCGTAAGAAGCATTTCAAGGTCCTGGAGTGGCCTAGCCAGTCTCCAGATCTCAACCCCATAGAAAATCTTTGGAGGGAGTTTAAAGTCTGTGTTGCCCAGCGACAGCCCCAAAACATCACTGCTCTAGAGGAGATCTGCATGGAGGAATGGGCCACACACCAGCAACAGTGTGTGAAAACCTTGTGAAGACTTACAGAAAACGTTTGACCTGTGTCATTGCCAACAAAGGGTATATAACAAAATATTGAGAAACTTTTGTTATTGACCAAATACTTATTTTCCACCATAATTTGCAAATAAATTCATTAAAAATCCTACAATGTGATTTTCTGGATTTTTTTTCCTCATTTTGTCTGTCATAGTAGACGTGTACCTATGATGAAAATTACAGGCCTCTCTCATCTTTTTAAGTGGGAGAACTTGCACAATTGGTGGCTGACTAAATACTTTTTTTCCCCACTGTAATATATAATATGCCATTTAGCAGACGCTTTTATCCAAAGCGACTTACAGTCATGAAATAACACATATGGAATCATGTAGTAACCAATAAATTGTTTTAAAAATTGTGATGAGGTGATGTTGAAGGAGTCAGGCGCAGGAGGGTAAATCACAGAATAACGTAATAATGCGTCAAAAACACTCCAATGCGCAAAACAGGCGCACTGGAAAATACAACGCACACAGGGAAATATCCTGGCGATACAAAATACACGGCGCTCCACCGAGCTTCACTAACCTCCACAATAAACAATCACACACAAAGACAAGGGGGCAGAGGGAACACTTATACAGGTACTGATGAGGGGATATGAACCAGGTGTGTGCAATAAACAAGACAAAACCAATGGAATGATGAGATGAGGAGCGACAGTGGCTAGAAGGCCGGTGACGACGACCGCCGAAGCCTGCCCGAACAAGGAGAGGAGGCAGCTTCGGAGGAAGTCGTAACACAAATGAAAATATATTTTATATTTGAGATTCTTCCATCAGCCACCCTTTGCCTTGATGACAGCTTTGCACACTCTTGGCATTCTCTCAACCAGCTTCATGAGGTAGTCACCTGGAATGCATTTCAATTAACAGGTGTGCCTTGTTAAAAGTTAATTTGTGGAATTTCTTTCCTTCTTAATGCGTTTGAGCCAATCAGTTGTGTTGTGACAAGGTAGGGGGTCCATATTATGGCAAGAACAGCTCAAATAAGCAAAGAGAAACAACAGTCCATCATTACTTTAAGACATGAAGGTCAGTCAATATGGAACATTTCAAGAACTTTTAAAGTTTCTTCAAGTGCAGTCGCAAAAACCATCAAGCGCTATGATGAAACTGGCTCTCATGAGGACCACCACAGATATTGAAGACCCAGAGTTACCTCTGCTGCAGAGGATAAGTTCATTAGAGTTACCAGCCTCAGAAATTGCAGCCCAAATAAATGCTTCACATAGTTCAAGTAACAGACGCATCTCAACATCAATTGTTCAGAGGAGACTGTGTGAATCAGGCCTTCATGGTCGAATTGCTGCAAAGAAACCACCAATAAAGGACACCAGTAAGAAGAAGAGACTTGCTTGGGCCAAGAAACACGATCAACGGACATTAGACCAGTGGAAATGTGTCCTTTGGTCTGGTGTCCAAATTTGAGATTTTTGGTTCCAACCGCCGTGGCTTTGTGAGACACGGTGTGGGTGAACGGATGATCTCCGCATATGTATTTCCCACCGTAAAGCATGGAGGAGGAGGTGTTATGGTGTGGGGGTGATTTGCTGGTGACACTGTCTGTGATTGAATTCAAGGCACACTTAACCAGCATGGCTACCACAGCATTCTGCAGTGATACGCCATCGCATCTGATTTGGGCTTAGTGGGACTATCATTTGTTTTTCAACAGGACAATGACCCAACACACCTCCAGGCTGTGTAAAGGCTATTTTACCAAGAAGGAGAGTGATGGAGTGCTGCATCAGATGACCTGGCCTTCACAATCCCCCGACCTCAACCCAATTGAGATGGTTTGGGATGAGTCGGACCACAAAGTGAAGGAAAAGCAGCCAACAAGTGCTCAGCATATGTGGGAACTCCTTCAAGACTGTTGGAAAAGCTTTCCAGGTGAAGCTGGTTGAGAGAATGCCAAGAGTGTGCAAAGCTGTCATCAGGGCAAAGGGTGGCTATTGGAAGAATCTCAAATATAAAATATATTTTGATTTGTTTAACACTTTTTTGGTTACTACATCTTTTTTGGTTACTACATGATTCCATATGTGTTATTTCAAAGTTTTGATGTCTTCACTATTATTCTACAATGTAGAAAATAGTAACAATAAAGAAAAACCCTAGAATGAGGTGTGTCCAAATCTTTGACTGGTACTGTTTATACAATAATATACAAAGCAGAGATATTATTATTATGTGTCACTCCTTAATATTTAGTCATCCAAAATTGATAATACAAAACGTTATGAGTGTTAGAAAATGTAACACAGACAAAATACTACTTTGATACAAAGTCATGGCAAAGGATTATGTCTCATATTTTGGCTTCACTAACCTCAATGAACTAGCCAGTAGCTAAACACTCATAATATTACATTTGTAATACATTCAGAAGGTTCGGATTTAGAGGTTAGGCTGAGGTTAGGAGATGAGACGGGAATGTTACCTTCTGACCTATTCTTCAGTGCATCTGTCAGTTCTGTCACTGGCACAGAGGTGTCTCCTCACATACCATGCTTCCTTATAAAACAGAATGAAATCAGTCAGTAGAGAGTCAACTACTCTTGTTTAATTCTACCCATTCTCCTTTTTTATTACCAAATGTGGCTCTACTGTGGAGTGCGGGCATTATATTTGTATTCACTGGAGAAATTAATAAGAACCACTGGTTGTATTGCTGTGAGACATGCTATGTGTGTGTGTGTGTGTGTATGTGTGTGTGTGTGTGTATTCTGGCCATGTTTTAGGTCTCATCATCACAGCTCTACACCTATGAGGGAAGGGGATAAATGTGACACTCTCTTCTGTGGGAACATTCTCTTATGACCAGTTCCACAACCACTGCAATCCACACGCCCGGGGTGGGAAAGGTAGAGGTGCCAAATAACACCTCAGGCCCAGAAAAACAGCTAAGACCACAAAAACACAATGTTATTTCTGTTCACAGGGTTTATGAATATGGAAAAGAAGTTCGAGATTGTTTATGATAAGATTACTCTTTCCAAAAGTTATTATTAGAGCCTAGTTTCAGGTTTTGTATACAAAAAATTACTACCGACTAGTTTTCACCCACATGTGTGATATCACATTGAGATATCCCAGACAATTATTTCACCACAAGTGTCTCTTTTTGCATCCAGTGACTAATTCAATTGCTGCATAGAAGGTTATCCAGCACCTTGATCTTGACAGAGCCAATCTCTTCAGATTAACAATGACTCACCATAATTTGTGAGAAAAAAAAGAACAATATGGATGGTAAATAAAACAGCTCTATTCCCTCTATTTTCCAAGGCAGTGTAGGAGTTGTCTGCTTGTCTAAACAGAGGAGAGGTGTGAACTTCACACATTACAGCTGGCACACTTCTTTTACCAGTGAGAGCTGCTGAGAGCCATGGGACTATTGGTCATTGAGAATTATAAGATTCTGCTGAAGGCCGGCATTGTGTTGAGTTATGTAGAAATAGAATAGGATAGTATTTGGGTGTTTATAGTTATTTGCATAATGTGCATTCCAAAACACAAATAATAATTATAACTTTTTTTTAACAGCCCCTACCCACTGGGCACAGACGTCAGTTCAATGTCTAGTTTTGATTTACATTCGGTTGCGTTGTCAACTAATTTCACTGTGAAATCAACAAATCATTTATAAGTTGGGTGAAAAAACAACAACAGACTTCCTTACGTTGATGACTTTTTGCAAATCCAATCAGCTTTCCACATTGATTCAACGTCATCACATTGCTTTTTTTTTTTATGGTGTGGAAACAACCTTGATTCAACCAGTTTTTGTCCAGTGGGCATATTCAAAAGCTGCCCAAATTATTTAAATTCAATACAATCCTATCCAATACTGCCCAATTTAGTAAATTGTTCAATACAACAATCTCTCCCACCATGAATTCTTGAACTTGATGCAGATTTAATTATAATCTGCCTGCCACCTAACACCTGGCTCTAGGAGGGTGTTTCCCAGGGACCCCGTGCGTCTAGTGTGATCTGTCCTTGGGCACTTTGAAGTCCAGGCACCCTGAGGTGACCACTGAAGGTGCCATATCACACCTGCCTGTAGGATAAATTGGGGAGCAGCTCTGGGGTCCTCCAGTACTCCTCAAAACCTCTCCAAGGACAGACAGACTAAAGATCTTCATAGCTCAGAAAACACTGCAGTAATGGACTCCGTTGATTTCTCTAAACTCTTGTTTCTTCAGGCTGGAGAGCATCTGCTGGACAGTGATGGCTTTCTGGAGCCTAGCTGTCCCAGCTCCGACCCTGGTTATTACAGTGCCTGTAGTAGCCTGTCACCTGCCTCCTCCATTGACTCCTTCTGCCTCTCTCCCCCTTGTTTCCAGTGGGGAGGTGGTCAGGAGAATGAAGCTTCCAACGCTTCAGGCTGCATCAGCCAAGCTGCCAAAAGACAGAGGATAGAAGAACTCCCATCTCAGGAGAAGAGAAAGTCTAGGTCCAAGTTCCCTGGGATGAAGCGGGAGAGCGCCAGTGAGAGGGAGAAGCTGAGGATGAGAGACCTGACCAAAGCCCTCAACCACCTCAGGACCTACCTGCCCCCCTCTGTGGCTCCGGCTGGACAGACTCTGACCAAGATCGAGACCCTGCGCCTCACCATCGGCTACATCTCCCACCTGTCGGCCCAGCTTGAGCTTAGCCAAGAGGAGCCATGCCTGAAAAGAGAGATGGAAACCACACCACACCAGTATATGCCACAATGCCCTCAGGGAAGCTCCATTTCTGGACAGTGGTATCAGGAGAGACTGCAGGGGAACATCCAGAGCAATGATCAATACTGTCTGCCACTGGTCACATCATGTACCGACAACACAGAGACACAACTGGAACCAGACTACCTGACGTCAGCGGTCTCCTATCAGGACATGACCTTATTTCAGGTAAATATGCCTCTAGATCACTATAATATTGTCTGTAATCTTCTCATTTATATTATCCAATAGCAAACCATTACTTCTCTTGAGAAAGAGCAATATATAAAGCAGATATTTTATATCCCATGTCCTCTTTTAATTCTGAATGTTGTCTGAAACTGAAAGAATGTACTCTCTTCTACAGATGCACAACCAGGTGATCCAGAGTGACATCAAGCAATTTGATCTGACCTATTTCCAATAATGAGTGAAGAGGTGAAAACGTCTGAAGATACAGACAGCCTAGATCAGAGACATTATGGACAAAAGATGTACCTAAATATCTATTTATAACTGGGATACAAACAATTGTTGATTGTTTCAATGAAAGTGATGATATGTATGTAGCTATTTATAAGATTATATTTTTCTAAATCTAATTTATGTGTCTTGGATTATATTTGTAATAAAAATTAATAGTCAATAATATTGCTTTGTGTATTTTATGAATTGAATAATTAAACAACCTCGATCATGTTTTGGCCTTCAGTAGGCCTAATTACAATTTATTAAATATATCCCTTGACTGAAGAATTTGACTTAAAATGTGGCTACCTTAGTGAGATTAGTAAATAGGCCTACAACATTGTTTGTTTCAATTTAAACAAGTGATATGCCTTGAACCTTGATGCAACCGCTTGATGATGAGGATATAACATCTGATAAAGTTAACATTACATTACATTTTAGTCATTTAGTAGACGCTCTTATCCAGAGCGACTTACAGTTAGTGAATGCATACGTCGTTATTTTTTTTAAATCATACTGGCCCCCCTTGGGAAACGAACCCACATCCCTGCCGGCCAAACCCTCCCCTACCTTGGACGACGCTGGACCAATTGTGCGCCGCCCATGGGTCTCCCGGTTGCGGCCGGCTGCGACAGAGCCTGGACTCGAACCAGGATCGCTAGTGGCACAGCTAGCACTGCGATGCAGTGCCTTAGACCACTGCGCCACTCGCGACATTAGGCCACCATTCCGTGCAAGGTCTAGGACTAACCTAAAGTTGGCTAATTATGCACAAATATTATGCAATTTGTAATCGTATCACCTGTTTTTGACTTGGTATCCCTGAATCATCCTGCATCGCCAAACAACCTTCGCGCTCAGCTCACCTCAGGCCCGCCCAATCATAAGATGTTTTTAAAAACATTTTTAGGAGTTGGGTCGTATTTGCCAAATATTCGATGAAAATGCTTGGCCTTCATCCTGCTTTCTCGATAGATAGTATTATTTAGGACATATATGATTTTCATTGCAAATCAGAGATGAGATGACCGCCAACTTCATCTGAATTCAGCAGATATGCTGAGGGCTACTGATTTTATACAGTAGGCCATATTCCTATTGTATCCGAAAAAATATATAAAAATGCAGCCACTGCAGCCAGTAAGATGAAGATAAACTTGAGTGAACTATTGACAAAGATATTTACAAAAATATATATATACAGGTAAATCGGAGCATATCAACATATTAGGTTACAGCAGGTCGTATACTGTAACCTAACCTAACGTATCAGTCGCAAAAGTAAACGCCTGAGCGAAGTTCCCACATTCGGTTTTCAGCGGAAAAGGAACCTAGGTTGAATTAGCTGTATCCCTGAAAACAGGATACATCCGGTTGTGGGCAACTAATTGTATCTGCGTTTCTTTCTCAAGGGTTGAGGGTGGAACGAAGCTGATGTGTCACTAGAAATACAGGCGGAGGTGGAGAGGAAACGGTATAAACATCCCATGACATCAATAACTATACGAAATATATACAATAGTATCAAGTCATTGTACAAAAGTCAAATTTGATATATTATTCTATCACTCCCCTCACAACCTTTTTAGTGTGTGTATGTAAATATGTTGGTAGGCCTAACTACTAACTTTGTATACTGGATGGTAGATCAAACACATATCCCATCATCCTTGCACAGGGGTGTTAATTGAACCATCATGGGGCTTGTAAGGGTTTCAGAGGATTATCAGGGGCTGGACATTGAGCTAATTGACACTAAAGCTTCCTTTCTTCCTGGCCTGAGCAAACAAATGAAACCTATAAGTCCAGAAAAAGCCCTCTTTTGTTATTCATTCAGGTTTACTCAAACAAGTTGCTTTTTCTGGGTGAAATATCTTTGTTTCAGATTCCACAAGACTGATTTACAGTAGCCTACATGAGTCCAATATCAAGATGGCAGTCATGAGGTATGTTTTTCTGTGCACAGCCCTTCCTTATATACTGTAAAGTGCCTGTAGTGTAAACCTTAAAGAGGGGGTGGGTGGTCAGACTAGGCAGGTTAAGCTTAAATCCCAGATGTGCTGTGGGTGAGTCAAGGTGACAGCTAGTCCCCCTGCTGTCCATGTATCCTGATTCCCAGACAGTCAGGGCGGAATGTCACACTCTGCATCTGTCCCTTTCCCATCTACTTCCTCTTGCCAACACTTTGAAGGCCATTAACATGACAGTTTGACAACCTTTTTGTAATGGACAGGTTAAAGGACGTTTATTGTTTTTCAACAAAATAGCATATAATATAAAGTATCTCTCTGAAACTCTAAAATAATAGAAGTTCATAGATACTCATAACATTATTGTGCTCTGGGAAATTGCAGTATGATCCACAGAGAAAAATATTGAATACTGACTAAATGTAATCACCAGGAAGTAGCCAACCTTAACCCCAACATTTCTGATTTAAAAGCCCAGTGCAGTCAAAAATGTGATTTTCCTGTGTTTTATATATGTTTCCACACTACGAGGTTGGAATAATTCTGTGAAATTGTAAAATTATGATAATGCCCTTTTAGTGTAAGAGCTGTTTGAAAAGACCACCTGAAATTTCAGCCTGTTTTGGTGGGATGGCGTTTTGGTCTGCCTGGTGACATCACCAGGCTGTACATTTGTTAATAGACCAATAAGAAACAGAGTTCCAAACCTATCTGCCAATAACAGCTAGTTTTCAGTTTTCCCCTCCCCACTCAGACCACTTCCAGACAGTGCTAGCAAAATTATTTCTTGAGAAATTGCTCTTTGCTAAGAAGCTATTTTTTATTTTTGACCATTTTAATTGAAAACAATCACAGCAACGTACTTAATTGTGACCCAGAAATGATTTGATATTGAGATAAAAACTGCTGCATTGGACCTTTAACATAAAATTAAAACCCAGCAAATAATCCAAGCACTTTTCTTCCATAGTAAAATAACATATTTAAGCCTGTTGGACAACCAAAGCATTGAGGGTTTTTTAGGCAGTCTCACTCAAGAACCAGTCCCACACTTCCTTCTTGTTCTCATCCACCCATTTGATATTGGCTGTAGTTCTCTCCGTGGCCTGCTCCAATGCCAAGGTCCCTGAGCCAAAACCAATCTCAGAGTTGTCCTCCTTGAATTTCTGGAGCTGACATCATGAAAAACAAAGTTACATTTTACTCTTAGTAGCTATTCCCCAGGTCGTTGCTGTAAATGAGAATGTGTTCTCAGTCAACTTGCCTGGTAAAATAAGGGTTAAATTAAATATAATAAACCACATATAATCAGTACAATACAAATATAATCAGTACAATTCTTTATAATGTAAGCTATTTATTAACAGTGCAACTAAAGGAAGTACTGTATATCCAGTCATTTAAACACTTCAATTAAAACATTACCTGTTCAAGTTCAGTTTTAGTTGAGAATCTCATTGTCACACCACTTATAAGGTTGGCAAATGAGAAGGATCCAACACCATACCTAGGAAATATGACAATTACAAGTTCATAATGTCCATACACACAAACCAAGTATACACTGAGTGTACAAAACATTAAGAACACCTGCTCTTTCCATGACATAGACTGACCAGGTGAATCCATTTGAAAACTGTGATCCCTTATAGAAGTCACTTGTCAAATCCACTTCAATCAGTGTAGATGAAGGGGAGGAGAAAGGTTCAAGAAGGATTGAGACAATTGAGACATGGATTGTATGTGTGCCATTCAGAGGGTAAATGGGCACAACAAAATATTTAAGTGCCTTTGAACAGAGTATGTTAGTAGGTGCCAGGCGCACCGGTTTGTGTCAAGAACTGCAACGCTGCTGGGTTTTTCACGCTCAACAGTTTCCCGTGTGTATCAAGAATGGTCCACCACCCAAAGGACATCCAGCCAACTTGACACAACTGTGGCCCATGTGAGTCAACATGGGCCAGCATCCCTGTGGAACGCTTTGGACACCTTGTAGAGGTCCATGCCCAGACGAATTGAGGCTGTTCTGAGGGCAAAAGGGGGTGCAACTCAATATTAGGAAGGTGTTCCTAATGTTTTGTACACTCAGTGTATTTGGTTTACTGATAGAAGTGCCTTTTGGGGGTACAACTTACTGTGTGAACATGTACTCCCAGTTCTGTGTCACAAAGTCCCAAGCCAATGTTTGACCTTCAACATTACTGGAGATGTACACAATGACAGACGTTGCATCCTGCTTACGGATTTTGTCTGAATCCAATGTGTATCTCAGGTACCTGAATTGAGTCCATAGAGTATTGATACATTTAGACAGATTGTTATAATTGACTGTATTTGTCAATATGAAGACAATGGAAAGCGAAAACCACAGTTCAATATGATACAGTGCCTTCGGAAAGTATTCAGACCCCTTTACTTTTTCCACATTTTGTTACGTTACAGCCTTATTCTAAAATGGATGAAATAAAATAAAATCCTCAGCAATCTACACACAAATGACAAAGTGAAAATAGGTTTTTAGAAATTTTTGCAAATGTATGAAAAATAAAAAACAAATACCTTATTTACATAAGGCACCTAAAGACTCTCAGACCATGAGAAATAAGATAAGAAACTCTTTGGTCTGAATGCCAAGCACGAAGTCTGGAGGAAACCTGGCACTATCCCTACGGTGAAGCATGGTGGTGGCAGCATCATGCTGTGGGGATGTTTTTCAGCGGCAGGGACTTGGAGACTAGTCAGGATCGAGTCAAAGATGAACGGAGCAAAGTATTGATAGATCCTTGATGAAAACTTGCTCCAGAGTGCTCAGGACCTCAGACTGGGGCGAAGGTTCACCTTCCAACAGGACAACGACCCTAAGCACACAGCTAAGACAACGCAAGGGTGGCTTCGGGGGGTGGCTTCGGGGGGTGGCTTCTCTGCATGTCCTTGAGTGGCCCAGCCAGAGCCCAGACTTGAACCCGATCTAACATCTCTGGAGAGACCTGAAAATAGCTGTGCAGCGACGCTCCCCATCCAACCTGACAGAGCTTGATAGGATCTGCAGAGAAGAATGGGAGAAACTCCCCAAATACAGGTTTGCCAAGCTTGTAGCGTCATACCCAAGAAGACTCAAGGCTGTAATCGCTGCCAAAGGTGCTTCAACAAAGTACTGAGTAAAGGGTCTGAATACTTATGTAAATGTGATCTTTTTATTTTTAATACATTTGCAAACATTTCTAAAAAACAGTTTTTGCTTTGTCATTATAGGGTATTGTGTGTAGATGAGGGAAAAAAACTATTTGATCCATTTTAGAATAAGGATGTAACGTAACAAAATGTGGGAAAAGTCAAGTGGTCTGAATACTTTCCGAATGCACTGTATGTCTAATAGTACCTTAACAAAATAACCAGATGTAACCTACTTATTCAGAAGTTCATGGTCCTTAGTACATGCCAGAGATGACATCAGTTTGTCTGCTTCGCTTGCAATAGTGGCATTCTTGAACATGTTCCAACCAAAATCCCACTCTGCAGCCCCGCCTGCTGCAATGGCACTGCAGTACACTGTCGTCCTCAAATTAGGATGTATCCTGATATCAAATGTTTTACGTTGTTGTTACAGGGTAGTATTCTTTGTTGTTGAAAACAAAGCAAAAATTTCAGATATACTGTAGTATATGCTAAATTATTTATACCAGATAATTCCTATAGTTTAAAAATCAATGAATAACCTATATGAACTCACAGATTGTTGTCAGGGTCAGCCATCCACTGACTGTACCAGCCTTTAGTCAGATTCTGACACTCAACCAGTCCCGTGCTACAGGCCATCCTAATGGCATTCACCTGGTTGTACCTGGAAGTGAAAGGTATTCCTTGTTATTATAAAGCCTTATACTCCTTTCATACCACATCAAACAGACCATATCAATGCTCTGGGTTCCACTCACTGGTCTGTATGCCCATCAGGCACTTTACTCCAGTTTGCAGTAATAGTCTTGAAGTGTTGAAAAAGGGGTGTCACTAGATTCTTCACATAATCCTATGACAAGGACAGAGAATAAGATGCTACTTATCTATTAAAGTGAGATCAGTATATCTATATCAGTCTTAAAATATCTCATATGTGTAATTGTCACAAATTATATGACATTCTACCTGCATAGTCCCATAGACCTCAGTGCGATCAAACATGAGGTAGAAATAATCCAAATTGTCCAGAGCCGACTCCCACGGTATATATTCAATTTCTTTGGAGAGGTATTTTGTCGTTTTCAGAGCTAATATTGTGGGAATGAACTTTGCCCTGTGTAGGGACATAAGGGTTAGAAATACAATCACCAAAATATGATGCACGTAACACTTTGTGATATTGTGGTGGTTCAAAAACGTCAAAACCCCAACCTTGCCAGATTAAAAGCATCATCCACAAGTTGTGCCCTGTTGATAACTGGTATGACCTGCAAGAAAATAATTGTTTCATTGAAGAAAAATAACAGTAATACCCTTCAAACAAAATCTGATGATTCAGTTTTTCATTTTACCTGATGATTAGTGCTCAGTTGGAAGAGGAGACGTTCCCAGTTGCCAAGGTCATAGTTAACCCTGTAGTATCCAGTCACATTGATGTTGGCTAGTACCCACTGACCACTTGTCAACTTATTGTTTATAGCTGAGGGGGGAAATGAATTCATGACAATGAAGCTACGGATAGTAGATCAAATCTGCATGTTATTTCATCTGACTATTTGATGTTTTCATGTTCGGCCACAGTTTTCTACAGACGGCACTACTGAAGAGGTTTTCTGTATCCATACCCTCTTTCTCAAGCAGCCATACCGCTTTCTGAACCACTCCTGCAACCATCCATTTGATTGGTACTATCCACTCGTACCTAGGCACCAAAATGAACTGGGCTTTTTTATTATAATATTATAATATTTTTCATACATATGTAATACATGAAAATGCTGTGACCATTCTCATTACATATACAGTACCAGTCAAAAGTTTGGACGCACCTACTCATTCAAGGGTTTTTCTTTATTTGTACTATTTTCTACATTGTAGAATAATAGTGAAGACATCAAAACTATGAAATAACACATATTGAATCATGTAGTAACCAAAAAAGTGTTAAACAAATCTAAATATATTTTATATTTGAGATTCTTCAAAGTAGCCTTGATGACAGCTTTGCACACTCTTGGCATTCTCTCAACCAGCTTCATGAGGAATGCTTTTCCAACAGTCTTGAAGGAGTTCCCACATATGCTGAGCACTTGTTGGCTGCTTTTCCTTCACTCTGCAGTCCAACTCATCCCAAACCCTCTCAATTGGGTTGAGGTCAGGTGATTGTAGAGGCCAGATCATCTGATGCAGCACTCCATCACTCTCCTTGGTCAAATAGCCTTACTCAGCCTAGAGGTGTGTTTTGGGTCATTGTCCTGTTGAAAAACAAATTATAGTCCCACTAATCGCAAACCAGATTGGATGGCGTATCGCTGCAGAATGCTGTGGTAGCCATGCAGGTTAAGTGTGCCTTGAATTCTAAATACATCACAGACAGTGTCACCAGCAAAGCACCCCCACACCATCACATCTCCTCCTTCATGCTTCACGGTGGGAACCACACATGCGGAGATCATCCGTTCACCTACTCTGCGTCTCGCAAAGACATGGCGGTTGGAACCAGAAATCTCACATTTGGACTCATCAGACCAAAGCACAGATTTCCACCGATCTAATGTCCATTTCTCGTGTTTATTGGCCAGCAAGTCAAGATGTGTCTGTTACTTGAACTCTGTGAAGCATTTATTTGGGCTGCAATCTGAAGTGCAGTTAACTCTAATGAACTCTGCAGCAGAGGTAACTTTGGGTCTTCCTATCCTGTGGCGGTCCTCATGAGAGCCAGTTTCATCATAGCGCTTGATGGTTTTTGCGACTGCACTTGAAGAAACTTTCAAAGTTCTTGAAATGTTCCGTATTGACTGACCTTCATGTCTTAAAGTAATGATGGACTGTTGTTTCTCTTTGCTTATTTGAGCTGTTCTTGCCATAATATGGACTTGGTCTTTTACCAAATAGGGCTATCTTCTGTATCAGCCCTACCTTGTCACAACACAACTGATTGGCTCAAACGCATTAAGAAATTCCACAAATTAACTTTTAATAAGGCACACCTGTTAATTGAAATGCATTCCAGGTGACTACCTCATGAAGCTGGTTGAGAGAATGCCAAGAGTGTGCAAAACTGTCATCAAGGCAAAGGATTGCTACTTTGATGAATCTCAAATATAAAATGTATCATGATTTGTTTCAAACTTTTTTGGTTACTACATGATTCCATATGTGTTATTTCATAGTTTTGATGTCTTCACTATTATCCTATAATGTAGAAAATAGTGAAAATAAAGAAAAACCCTGGAATGAGTAGGTGTGTCCAAACTTTTGACTGGTGCTGTATGTCTCTCCAGACTAGTCAGACGAACTTGAAGTCAGATGGTGGTACATTCCCCACAGAATCAGGGTCCAGAAGGAAGTGCTCCTGGGTGATCTGTCCAGTGGCTGTGTTTATGGTGACCACTGGGAAGCCCATCTGAAGGACCCAGCGGTTCATGATGTCATGCACAGTACCAGGAAGCTCCATGTCACTGGCATCTACTGCCTAGAGAGGGAGACACACAGGAGATTGATTAGAGAGAGTGTTATTTTCCCTGAACCATAGGAGGGCAGCATTTTCATTATAGCTATAATTCAGAAGTCAAAATCAAATCAAATCAAATCAAATTGTATTTGTCACATGCGTCGAATACAACAGGTGTAGACCTTACCGTGAAATGCTTACTTACAAGCTCTTAACCAACAATGCAGTTTTAAGAAAAATAAAAGTAAGACAAATATTTACTAAATAAACTAAAGTAAAAATAAAAGAGCAACAATAAAATAACAATAACGAGGCTATATACAGGGGGGTACCGGTACCAAGTCAATGTGCGGGGGTAAAGTCCACAATCTCATTGATATGACTGTAAATGGAATGTGAGCTCGGTCAGGATCATTTGCTGCTGTAAAGGCACACATAATATCTGACGGAATGTGTAGTACTGCCACAGATTCATCATTAATTCCAACAGTACAAAGTAACTAGCTGAAAATAGGAATAGCCAATGCACACTATTGATTGTTTCTAAGGAACTTACTCGTTGTAGATGATCCCAAAGGTCTGTCCCCACTGTGTTATCGTAGGCAAAGTGATTCAGGTAGCTCTAGAGAAAAATATGGATTCTGCACTTAGAACCATTAATCATAGGCAATGTATTCTAGAGTGAATAATGAGAAATGCACTTCCAACACAGAGCCCATGGGGTCTACTCACTTTTTTTCCTCTCACACACTATACAAACAGTATTCCTTAATGCTTAACGTAACTATGATAAATGTGTATCATATCAAGAGAAGATCCTACAGTAACTGGGCTGTAGCAGTGCCTTGGGACAGTAACAAATACATACACTTAGTCCTTGGACGAAGACTGGTTCAGTTAGAAAATCTGACAGCATTCTCAACACTGATGCCCCCTGTAGAGAGAGTTCAAAATGGATGAAAAATAAAATGCTTTCAGAACATATATAATGAAACAGAGAATATAAAGAGTATAGGTTGTAGAACATCCATCATTCACAACACTACATTAACACATACAGTGCCTTCAGAATATATTCAAACCCCTTGTATCTTTCCACATTTTGTTGTGTTACAGCCTGAATTTAAAATGTATTACATTTAGATTTTTTTTGTCACTGGCAAAAGTCAGATGGTGGTACACTCCCCACACAATCAGAGTCCAGTAGGAAGTGCTTGTGTGTGTGTTTATGGTGACCACTGGGAAGCCCATCTGAAGGACTCAGCAGTTCATGATGTCATGCACTGTACCAGGAAGCTCCATGCCACTGGCATCTACTGCATAATTCCACAATGTCAAAGTGCAATTATGTTTTCAGAATTGTTTACAAATTAATTAGAAATGACAAGCTGAAATGTCTTGAGTCAATAAGTATTCAACATATTTGTTATGGCAAGCCTAAATAAGTTCAGGAGAAAAAATGTGCTTAACAAGTCACATAATAAGTTGCATGTACTCTGTGTGCAATAATAGTGTTTAACATAATTTTTGAATGACTACCTCATCTCTGTACCCCACACATACAATTATCTGTAAGGTCCCTCAGTTGAGCAGTGAATTTCAAACACAGATTCAACCACAAAGACCAGGGAGGTTTTCGAATGCCTCGCAAAGAAGGGCACCTATTGGTAAATGTTTTTTTTTTTAAAAGCTGACATTGAGCATGGTTAAGTTATTAATTATACTTTGGATGGTGTATCAATACACCCAGTCACCACAAAGATACAGGCGTCCTTCCTAACTCAGTTGCCGGAGAGGAAGGAAACCGCTCAGGGATTTCACCATGAGGCCAATTGTGACGTTAAAACAGTTACTGAGTTTAATGGCTGTGATAGGAGAAAACTGAGGATGGATCGATAACATTGTAGTTAAAGTAATACTGCAAAGAATGTGGCAATGAAATAAACATTATGTCCTGAATAAAAAGTGTTATGTTTGGGGCAAATCCAACACAACACATCACTGAATACCACTCTTCATATTTTCAAGCATGGTGGTGGCTGCATCATGTTATGGGCATGCTTGTCATCGGCACGGACTAGGGAGCTATAAAAATAATTGGAATAGAGCTAAGCACAGGCAAAATCCTAGAGGAAAACCTGGTTCAGTCTGCTTTCCAACAGACACTGGGAGACAAATTCACATTTTACCAGGACAATTACCTAAAACAAATCTACACTGGAGTTGCTTACCAAGAAGACCGTGAATGTTCCTGAGTGGCCGAGTTACAGTTTTGACTTAAATGTACTTGAAAATCTATGGCAAGACCTGAAAATGGTTGTCTAGCATTGACCAACAACCAATTTGATAGAGCTTGAAGAATTTGGAAAGAATAATGTGCAATGTAATGTTACTTTGGCATTATGGGGTATTGTGTGTAGATGGGTGAGATTTGTTTTATTTTAATAAATGTTGAATTCAGGCTGTAACACAAAAAAAAAGTGGAATAAATCAAGGGGTATGAGTACTTCCTAAAGGCACTGTACATTAATGTTTTGACTGAGTTCGTATTGTCTTATGTTTACCTTGCTGTAAGAGATGGCATCAAACTGCTCACTGATTTGCTCAGGCTTCTGGATGTCATCGTCTTTGGAGGACAGGGGGTGAGAGGAGGCCAGGGCATCCACTGCAAACACCCTGTGCACATCATCAAGAACTATGAGGTCTTTCTGTGGAGGAAAAGGATAGGGCTGTAGTATACTCTACATGTTGTGACTTTCAGTGACTGCTCTTACACAGAAAGGTAGATTACTAGTCACATTTTGCACTACTATCACCTCTTTACAAAATGGTAACGGGAGGGGATGGATGGGTGTCTTGTCTTTAATGGGAAACCTTACCACGTTCCAAGTGGATTCAGCATAATCAGCCCCAAGATAAGACACATAGGATGCAAAGCCCTCATTCAGCCAGACTTCATTCCACCATCTCAGGGTCACTAGATTTCCAAACCACTGACAGATAAAAATGAAAGTAATGTTTGAATTAAACTTTTTAAGAACAGCAATGATAGTCTGATTCTCTGGACTGTATCCTACCATGTGAGCAAGTTCATGTGCAATGATGGTGGCTGTTCTCTCCTTGTTTCCATTGGAGGATGTTAAAGGATCGTAAAGGAGATTTGTTTCCCTGTAGGTAACTAGTCCCCAATTCTCCATGGCCCCAAAATAGAAGTCAGGAAGGGCAATCTGGTCTATACAGGGATGTTTGAAAAGAAATTCAAAAATTATTTTGTTATTTTCCAACACAGATCATGATGATGTCACCTGCAAATCACGTGGTCAATTTAAAATCTTACCTGATTTGGAGAGAGGGTAGGTGGTATTGTAATACACCTCAAAAAAGGACAGGATTGGTCCTGTTAAACTGAGGGCATATTCTCCATGTCCTTCACTGATGGCTTTTCTACGAGCCCAGATCCGAATCTGCGCAGACAGGCCAGGAGATTTATTCCAATCACAACTCTTACTGATATAAACACTTACAGTACACTTTGTACTGTAAACACCCACCCAACATGGACAAGAACTATCACTGGTTAGATTACTGTCGAGAAAGTACACGATACATCCACAGGTTCAGCAAGAGCATACATTATATGATTGTTTTTACTGCATTTGAAATTATGCAAATATCGAGTTGATTTCATTACCTGAATATTTCTCTCCTGAGCGCTGATATTTGAATAGTCACAGACAATCAGGGCCAGGAGGTATGTTGACATGCTCTTGGTTGGCTCAAATCTGGTCTGTGTGACAGACTCTGTGTTTACAGTGACGTTAAGTATTTCTAAAGAAGAGCAGAAACAGATTGTCAGGACAATCTGATCCTTTGAAAGAAGGACTGTCAAATGGTTTCAGTAAAAACAGTAACATAATACTGTATTTAGTTTAAAGGTGCAATATGAAGAAATCACTCCGCCATGTCCTGGTTGCTAAAATTTGAATAGTTCGCCTAATTTCAGTTTATGTGACGAACAAGCAATGCATAGTGTAGAGAATCATTGTAACATCTAAACCACTTTTTCATAACCAAAAATATTAGATTTTCAGCTGTTTGAAGCTGGTGTACAAAACCGAAAGTAAAAGATGCAAAAACTACATTTAAGATTGGGATGCATAGAAATAGCGCACATAGAACAGATCTACCACTTCTTAGGCCTGCTTTCAATGAGAATGACATATATATAACTCAGATTTCTATGTGCATTTGGTCGGATCGCCCAAAAGGTTACATATTGCAGCTTTAAATACTCAGTGATTCCTGGAAACTAAGGCTATGTTTGGATGGCATATAGCCGTTTTAACCAACATTGCTCCTTGCCATTTGACAGGGCCACAGTCCCATGGGGATGGAGGAGTGTGATGTGGAAGATGGCCTTCATCGCAGGCTCATCAAAACAGGGGAACGTTTTCCTGGTGTGAGTAGGGTGCATCTGAGATGTAGCTACAACCCTGTGAAGGACAAGCATAGTTTGATTATTACTGAGTCTGAGCATGGAAAAAAGCTCTGCTGCATTCAACATAATACATCAAGATTATTAGGTGCACCACCTGTGAGGTTATACCATTTAGATGAACATTCCAAAAAGAAAAAGGGGGAAAAAAGGGAGTGGTTGTCCCACTGGCTATCCTAAGTTGAATGCATCAATTTGTAAGTCGCTCTGGATAAGAGCGTCTGCTAAATTACTTAAATGTAAATGTTAAATGAGACAAGATTCATGATATGCATACTTTTACATAGTTGAGTATCTGTGTCTTGTTGTTCAAAGGTTTATAAACAAACAGTGTCTGGGACATTTAAAAGGAAGCCTAATTACTCACTGCTCTGAAGCTACTTCCTGTTTCACTGTGGGAAAAAAACATCAGGTTCCTGTTTTTCAGTGGAAACCCACCTCTTGAGTTTTACATATTTACGATACACACTTTTGCTGAACAATGTAAATGATTAGATATGACTGAGTTTATCTAACCTATTAGAGTTGTCAATGCAGTATGACACTGAGTACTGATAAAGTGCTGTGAGAAATGGAAGAAAATATTATCCAGAGTGACAGGAGCAAATAGGGTTAACCCGTCAGAGTCTAAGCCCTGTCTAAGCCAGGGGGGAGGGGTTACTTAAGCAATAAGGCCTGACGGGGCATGACGCAACGCGAAGTGCCTGGACACTGCCCTTAGCCGTGGTATATTGGCCATATATCACAAACCCCCGAGGTGCCTTATTGCTATTATAAACTGGTTACCAACGTAATTAGAGCAGTACAAATAAATGTTTTGTCATACCCGTGGTATACCACGGCTGTCAGCCAATCAGCATTCAGGGCTAGAACCACCCAGTTTATAATAAGCTATATGGAATTGTTTTAAGAAGGTCATACCAAGGATCATTTAGCTATTTGATTTTTAATTTTAAGACCCCTTGAAGTATCAAAAAAAAAATTAACAAATTATTTGATTATTTTTGGCCTTACTGATTAGCCCATACAAATGCATTGAATAACAGATTCACTGCATGGAACAACAGATAGTCCCCAAAAATATCAAAAGGAAGTTTGTTCTGAAATGTCTCTCCTTTATCTGAGAAATATAAGAAAGATCAGGAAACATTTGTTGTTGTTTTTTAACATGTATTTAACTCCATATTTTTGGCATTAAACAGTCTCCATATATGTTTCCGTAAATTTTTTCAACTGGTACCCGGGGACCTTCAGACGAGTCTTGTGAGGCCTGTAGCAAAATAAACGACGTTTGGGCTACACACATATCAGACAGAAGTTGGCAGATCGGCTGTACCGACTCCTGACACTTGTGGAGGTTGTACAGCAAAACGGAGAACACCATCGTGTTCGTGAGAGTCTCATCTTTCCATAAATGGGTCATTGGCCTGACACTACAGACAATTTTGTGAGAAGACCGATTTTCGAGATGTCTCATGGTCTGACAAACATCACTCTAACTCTGTCAGCTTTCACCGCAGATACTGAAGTGCGACATAAGCGGATGCGGTGGATTGAGACGCATCCAATGCAACAAAACAGATATATCTAGCTTAAACTGACAGATTGTTATGTAGATTTTTGTATTATGCTTATTAGATTGCTCAAGAGCACGTCAACATATATTTCACCTAGTTGGCTCCGGGATTCGAACCAGTGAGCTTACGGTTACTGGCCCAACACGCTTAACCGCTAGGCTACATGCCACTATTATCACAGTGAAGATTCAATTTACTCACTTTTTAACACCATCTTCTTCATATTCACTCCTATAGAAACCTGCTAGGTCATCAGCCAGCTCCCCAACAAACACTGTGTCCAGCTGGTAGGATTCTCCAACAGCTAACTTGCCATTCAGTTCCAATACCAGGAACTGAGTCGTTAGCTGTAGCCAGGATTTCTTTATGGTTGGTGCAGGTGTGCTACCGAGAGCAGTCAGTTTAGCCAGATGGCCATCATCCCACTTGGTGTAGTTCAGCTTGTTGGAGTGTATGAGGATCAGGTCTGTCTCCTTCACACATTGGAAGACCACATAGGATTCCCCTGTGAAGATGTAGAGGCCTTGTGCGTTGACGGTGAGTCGAGGCCACAGGGTCAGGTTGTAGTGGTCAGGCTTCAGGGTGTCTGGGAGACGGTACCTGTCCCATGGGGCGACGACCTCTACGCTATCTGTCAGTGCAATAGCCCACAATGTAACAATGGTCGCCACAGAGAGGACTCCCAGCACAACGCAGAAAATAAAGAACTTGCTGATTTTGCAGGATTTCTCCATGTCCTAGAGGAGTCTCAGCACGCACCAAGTGAGAGGGCTGAACTGAGACCAGTGCTTCCCATTCAAATTAATGGATGATCTATTTAGTAGTAGCTTTTGTGGGTGGGAGTTGCTGATAACTATCAACTAAAAGCAGATGATAAGAGAGAAAAATGGGCGGTAATAACCTTTTATTCTGTTGTTCGATAAGCAACTGGCATTTTTACACATTCATCGATCACCATAGCAGGTATGACAGATGTGAAATCACAGACATACAATAGTTTTGTGGGAAAAGTGCAAAATACTTCTAGGCAACCCATTGAATTTGTATTTGTTTTTACACTTTATATTACTATTTCTGTAATTACGGTGTAACAAGTATTGTAATCCCATTTTTACACTCTACTCAGGTTAGAGCTAAGGTTAGGGTTTAGAGTTTTTGCTGTGAGTACAGTGTTGTTTAACTCTACCCACATGTACATATTACCTCAATTACCTCGACTAACCTGTGCCCCCGCACATTGACTCTGTACACGTACCCCCTGTATATAGCCTCGCTACTGTTATTTTACTGCTGCTCTTTAATTATTTTTTATTTTGTATTTATCAATTTTTTACTTAACACTTATTTTTCTTAAAACTGCATTGTTGGTTAAGGGCTTGTAAGTAAGAATTTCACTGTAAGGTCTACACCTGTTGTATTCGGCGCATGTGGCAAATAACATTTGATTTGATTTGATTTGTAATGAGTAATTACAATACGTGTTACACTATACTTAGATGCACTTGATACCATATCTACTGTAATCAAATATGTTTGTCCAGTGACTATTTCAGAGTGATAGTCCTCTGATTATCATAGAATGATGTATTCCCTTTTTATAAGGAGAACAGTTTATTTCCAGTAATGTAAAAGTCCATAAGAAGCACAATTACAAAAAGAATGCAGTGTAAAACAAGTGTATTATTTTCACAACAATAAACCACAGTGTTTTATAACAAATCAGCATTGTAGACAGTTACTGTCTTCAAATATCTACAAATATTAACAGTATTGACTTAAGCAAAATATACTATGATAAAAAATAACCTTAAAAAAAAAGTTATTCAGCATGCAGGCATGTATCAAAATGTATTTAGTCTTTGCTAGAAAAAGCATATTTAAATTCATACATAGTATTTCTGATTAAGGGGCAGGATAGCTTTAGAATCAAAATTGTCCTTAACTGTTAAAGAGACACAGGGAACATAGCTTTTGGATAGGTCTTAGAAAATAAGTAAATGGACAAGTGTTTGTTTCTCCATGTGACCCTTATGATGTAGGAGCCTCTGCTTTAAACCATGCCTGCACTGTGTCCTTGTTCTCTGCCACCCATTTGATGTTAGCTGTTGTCCTCTCAATGGACTGTGAAACTGCCAAGGTACCTGAGCCAAAGCCAACCTCAGAGTTGTCCGCCTGGAATTGCTTGAGCTGTGACAGCGAAGAGAAACATGAACTTATATTGTATAGTATAGAAACCTCAATATTCAGGGTCCACATAGTATTCCAATACAAACATTTTGAGCAATACGTGCTGAAAAATCCCCTAAGCTTTCATTTTACCTGTTTGAGCTCAAATTCTGTTGAGAACCTCTTGGTCACACCATTGATGAGATTGGAGAAGGAGAAAGATCCACCACCGTACCTATGACAGAATAAGAGGTAAAGTTAGAGAACAGCATCTAGTGAAGAGTTAGATCAAATATCAGTGTACCAAATGTGACAAATAATTACTTTGAAAATGAAACAATCAATACAATATGTGTTAAAAGCTCAAACTCACTGAGTAAAGATGTAACTCCATCTGTCTCTCATAAAGTCCCAGGCCAGAGACTGGCCCACCACATTGCTTGCAATGTAAACAATGGTAGAGGTGGCATCCTGCTTGCGAATTTTGGTTGCATCCAGGGTGTATTCCAGGTACCTAAATGTGGCGTGGATGTACAAAGACAATATGAGGCATTGAAGCACCTCATATTCATGTCAGACACACTTGTCTCTTTAAAGCATTGTTTTAATATTTCTCCTTTTGATGCCAGGCAGAGAATCAATGCTTTGCTGCTCTCTGGCGCTTACAGGAGGGCTAATAACAGATCACAATTTCAGATTAACATGACAATATTTAGTCTGGCCTGGATAAACTTCAACTCACTTGTTGAGTAGCCAGGGCTGCTTGGTACAGGCCAGGGCAGATCGAAGCTTGTCTGCCTCAATAGCGATGGTGGCAGCCTTGAACTGCTTCCAACCAAATTCCCACTCCGCAGCCCCCCCTGCAGCAATAGCACTGCAGTACACTGCCGTCCTCAAGTTGGGGTGTATCCTAATAGGATATAAAATATATAAATATTTCAGCATCTATCATGCTTTGTGGTACTCAAAGATCATGATATTCACTGTTACAGGTGTAGGATCTTAATTTGATCACCCTGTTGCAGAGGAAATGTAAAACATTTACAATAACAAAATGTACTAATTTACACATTTAAAACACTAATGGCTTCTGAAGTTTATCATTTCCATTTAGACATTTCAGACGTAATTTTCCCTTACGAAAAATCTATCAACCCCTACAAAAATTATAATCCACATAATAATTTACATTTCCTGTTGTTACAGGATTATTTTCCTACTGTAGCAAACTGGCTCAGATTAAGATCCTACATCTGTAATGGTATTCAGAAATGAATCTGAATTGCATTCAAGTCCTACAGAACTCACGGATTGTTTGCAGCGTCATTCATCCACTGACTGTACCAGTCTTTAGTCAGAATCTGGCACTCTTCCATACCAGTGCTGCAGGCCACCCTGATGGCATTCACCTGGTTGTACCTGTGGGTGGAAAATACAAGTAAGCGGAGAGTAGAGTAAGAGGATTGTCTTGGCCTTCAAGCTTAGGTAAGCCATAGTGATATTGTGCAAAGGTTACTTTTGTTTGGACGTGGCAGGGTAAAAGCAAAAATAAAATAAATTGTAATATTATTATCATGAAATATAAGGCTATTGATCTACTCACTGTTCCATATGTCCAGAGGGTACTTTACTCCAGTTTCCAGTGATATCCCCGAAGTACTTAAAAAGTGGTTCTACTTGATATTTTAGGTAAGCCTAAAAGATCAAAACAAACATGAAAAAAAGTGTAATTTCACAATCATTTTTTGTTTAGTATACTGCCCATAATATTGTGTGCAACATCCTTGTATTATTCAGCATTGCCTTTCTAGAAAATAAACCAACCTGCATATCCCCATAGACTTCACTCCGATCAAACATGAGGTAGAAAAAGTCCAAGTTGTCAAGCGCTGACTCCCACGGCATATATTCCCTTTCATTTCTGAGATACTTCGTTGTTCGCAAGGCTAATGTTGTGTCAATATATTTTGCCCTTTACAGAGAAAATATACAAATTAATTGAGAATCCTTCTAGGCCTACTATTTATGAATAAAATGTCAAGTATTACTCTTTAAATCACGCCTACAGTAAACTATGTACTCACCTTGCAAGGTTAAAAGCATCATCCACCAACTGAGCTCTGTTGATAACTGGAATAGACTACACAAAAACCATACCACCAACATTAGCATGAATTACTTTTTCTGTATTTTTTCTAATTAGAGAATTATTTGGAAAATAGATTGTGTTCATCAATGGCTTACCTCAGAACTGCTGATCAGTTCAGTAAGGAGACGTTCCCAGTTGGTGTTATCATAGTTAACCCTATAGTATCCAGAGACGTTAAGGTTGGCCAGAATCCAGTTGTCCCCAGTGACTCTCATTTCAGGCTTATTAGCTTAATATTTAGGGACAAAAGCAACATGTCATTTTCCAAATCGTCATATTACATCTAAATAATGCTCTTTGATAAGATTATCTTGGTAGTACTGTAACCCTTAACTTTTCCTCATCTCCATCCATTAACTGTTTAATACTCCTGAGTGGCGCAGTGGTCTAAGGCACTGCATCACAGTGCTAACTGTGCCACTAGAGATCCTGGTTCGAATCCAGGCTCTGTCGCAGCCGGCCGCGACCGGGAGACTCATGGGCGGCGCACAATTGGCCCAGGGTAGGGGAGGGATGTAGCACAGTTGATAGAGCATGGCGTTTGCAACGCCAGGGTTGTGGGTTCATTTCCCATGGGGGGCCAGTATAAAGATAAAAATAAAAATATATGTATTCACTAACTGTAAGTCGCTCTGGATAAGAGCGTCTGCTAAATGACTAAAATGTAATAATAATATAATATGCCATTTAGCAGACGCTTTTATCCAAAGCGACTTACAGTCATGCATGCATACATTTTTACGTATGGGTGGTCCCGGGGATCGAACCCACTACCCTGGCGTTACAAGCACCATGCTCTACCAATTGAGCTACTGAGGACCACATATACACCTGTTCTGAAAAGCCCCAGAGTCTGCAACACCACTAAGCAAGTGGCACCACCAAGCAAGCGGCACCATGAAGACAAAGGAGCTCTCCAAACAGGCCAGGGACAAAGTTGTGTAGAAGTACAGATCAGGGTTGGGTTATAAAAAAATATCAGAAACTTTGAACATCCCACGGAGCACCATTAAATCGATTATTAAAAAATTGAAAGAATATGGCACCACAACATGTTTATTGCTTTAAATATACCACAATACATTTGACAGGTTCCCACATCATCAGTGGTTCTAATACGTACCATTTGTGTCCTCTAGCCATGTCTGTTGCTGTACAACTCCCTTCTTCATCCACCTGATTGGAACTATCCACTCATAACTGGGGTGGACATTATCATTAGGTTATTGCGTGCTATACAGTTTTTTATTAGTATTGATTAAGGTTGTTATGAATGATACTGTGACACTCATAAAGGTGTTATGACTGGTTCAGAAAGGTGTTATGTATACCCACACTATAGTAAAGTGCTACCATTTGTTTAATCCTCAACTTAGATTGCAATTATTCTTAATTTTTATTCAGACGTACTTGAAGTCAGATGGTGGTGCACTCCCCGCAGTGGCAGGGTCCAGAAGGAAGTGCTTCTGGGAGATCTCTCCAGTGACTGTGTTTATGGTGACCACTGGGAAACCCATCTGAAGGACCCAGCGGTTCATGATGCTATGCACAGTTTGGCCGGTGGGAAGTGACACACCAGTGCCAGTGGAGTTTACTGCCTAGAGAGGAAGGAAAGAAACGTTAAGGTTAAAACAAATATATATATTTTATTTGTTTATATGAGTTTAAACAAGTTATCACTACTGTTGTTTCAGGGTTTGATTATGTAATAATAGAGAGAAAACGTACCATTTGGAGGTGATCCCAGAGGTCGGTATACACTGTGTTATCATAGGCAAACGTGTTCAGGTATGTCTGTGGGAGAAAAGGGGAAAAAATATACAGAAACGTTATTCAGCAACACAATAAACAAACATAATTGCTTTGAACTTATAGATGTATTGACATATTTTACTACATCTACCCTGTACTTAATCTTCTCTTATGACAGCCAGAGATTACTATTTTTGCTCTATTAAATATTAATAATATGGTAATATACTGTACATACGCTGAGTCCTTTGGAGAAGACATCTTCAGACAGGAAATCAGAGAGCATTCTCAACACTGATGCTCCCTGTGGAAAGCCACATAATGCAAATGACGATACATGACATAGATACAACTAAAACTAATATATACAGTGGCTTGCGAAAGTATTCACCCCCTTGGCATTTTTCCTACTTTGTCGCCTAACAACCTGGAATTTAAATTGATTTTTGGGGAGTTTGTATCATTTGATTTACACAACATGCCTACCACTTTGAAGATGCAAAAAAAACAGAAAACTTGAGCGTGCATAACTATTCACCCCCCCAAAGTCAATACTTTGTAGAGCCACCTTTTGCAGCAATTACAGCTGCAAGTCTCTTGGGGTATGTCTCTATAAGCTTGGCACATCTAGCCACTGGGATTTTTGCCCATTCTTCAAGGCAAAACTACTCCAGCTCCTTCAAGCTGGATGGGTTCCGCTGGTGTACAGCAATCTTTAAGTCACACCACAAATTCTCAATTGGATTGAGGTCTGGGCTTTGACTAGGCCCTTCCAAGACATTTAAATGTTTCCCCTTAAACCACTCGAGTGTTGCTTTAGCAGTATGCTTAGGGTCATTGTCCTGCTGGAAGGTGAACCTCCGTCCCAGTCTCAAATCTCTGGAAGACTGAAACAGGTTTCCCTCAAGAATTTCCCTGTATTTAGTGCCATCCATCATTCCTTCAATTCCCACGGGGGGCCAGTATGAAAAATGTATGCACTCACTAATTGTAAGTCGCTCTGGATAAGAGCGTCTGCTAAGTGACTAAAATGTCAATTGGATCACTGACCAGTTTCCCAGTCCCTGCCGATTAAAAACATCCCCACAGCATGATGCTGCCACCACCATGCTTCACTGTGGGGATGGTGTTCTCGGGGTGATGAGAGGTGTTGGGTTTGCGCCAGACATAGTGTTTTCCTTGATGGCCAAAAAGCTCAATTTTGGTCTCATCTGACCAGAGTACCTTCTTCCATATATTTGGGGAGTCTCCCACATGCCTTTTGGCGAACACCAAACGTGTTTGCTTATTTTTTTCTTTAAGCAATGGCTTTTTTCTGGCCACTCTTCCGTAAAGCCCAGCTCTGTGGAGTGTACGGCTTAAAGTGGTCCTATGGACAGATACTCCAATCTCCGCTGTGGAGCTTTGCAGCTCCTTCAGGGTTATCTTTGGTCTCTTTGTTGCCTCTCTGATTAATGCCCTCCCTGCCTGGTCCTCGAGTTTTGGTGGGCGGCCCTCTCATGGCAGGTTTGTTGTGGTGCCATATTCTTTCCATTTTTTAAATAATGGATTTAATGGTGCTCCGTGGGATGTTCTAAGTTTCAGTTTTTTTTTTATAACCCAACCCTGATCTGTACTTCTCCACAACTTTGTCCCTGAACTGTTTGGTGAGCTCCTTGGTCTTCATGGTGCCACTTGCTTGGTGGTGTCCCTTGCTTAGTGGTGTTGCAGACTCTGGGACCTTTCAGAACAGGTGTATATATACTGAGATCATGTGACAGATCATGTGACACTTAGATTGTACACAGGTGGACTTTATTTAACTAATTATGTGACTTCTGAAGGTAATTGGTTGCACCAGATCTTATTTAGGGGCTTCATAGCAAAAGGGGTGAATACAAATGCACTCACCACTTTTCCGTTATTTATTTTTTAGAATTTTTTGAAACAAGTTATTTTTTTCATTTCACTTCACCAATTTTGACTATTTTGTGTATGTCCATTACATGAAATCCAAATAAAAATCAATTTAAATGACAGGTTGTAATGCAACAAAATAGGAAAAACGCCAAGGGGGATGAATACTTTTGCAAGGCACTGTATGAATAGCAACACAATTACAGTCATGTTTTATTATTTGAATTATGTCGATATCAATCTTATATTTGTTCTTCAAAGATCATGGCAGAGAAAATACTTGAGCGTACCTTGCTGTAAGAGATGGCATCAAACAGTTCACTGATTTGTTCAGGCTTCTGGATGTCCTCCTCTTTGGAGGACAGGGGGTGAGATGAGACCAGAGCATCTACTGCAAACACCCTGTGCACATCACCCAGAACTATCAGGTCTTTCTGTGGAGGGAAAGGACATGATTATACACTGAGACAATGAGGGGGACCTCTCCAGTCCACTCCATGTGGATAATTGATGTGCATTGTCTTCATAATTTGTTCAGCCAAAGAAAATCATATTAATGACAGAAAGCTGTCCAAATGAAGGTCTGAGATGGCTGGAAAAATAGTTGAAACACTTACAATATTCCAGTCAGGCTCTGCGTCATTGGCCCCAAGATATTCTACGTAGGACGCAAAGCCCTCATTAAGCCACAGATCATTCCACCACCTCAGTGTCACAAGGTTTCCAAACCACTGAAAGGAAGAGATTCATGTTAATTACCAGACCATTCAAAACAAAACAGGTTGACTTCAATCCAAGGTAATCAGCTAACGTAAGACATTAAGATAATATACAGTAGGTTATGAATTGCTAAAACATACAGTAACTGCATTTACTCACAAATGTATAATCAAATACATGACCCAGTAAATCATTTTATGAAAAAACAGGGAGGTAGAGTATATTGTATGTACAGTACTGTATGCAGTTCACATACCATGTGGGCCAGTTCATGAGCAATAATGGTGGCGATCCTTTCTTTGTTTGAATTGGAGGACATCTTAGGGTCGTACAAGAGGGCTGTTTCTCTGTATGTAATGAGTCCCCAGTTCTCCATTGCTCCAGCATTGAAGTCAGGCAAAGCAATCTGGTCTGGAAGAAAGAATCAGCCAATAAAAAGGACAACACATTCTCAGCCATATACGGTACTATAAAGCTACTATAACTCCATGAATAAAGACTTAACAGAAGCCATATAAGAGTTAAGAACAAAATAGTTATTACGTTTTAACAGTAAATAATTGACACCATACAGCTTCCCATAAAGAAGTGTCTGAAACCTAGGAAAAAATCTATTATCTAAAACCTATAAAGATGTAAGAAATTAAACTTAAATAAAACCCTTACCTGACTTTGGCAGAGGGTAGGTGGCATTGTAATATTTTTCGAAGAATTTCAGGATTGGTCCTGTTGTATTGAGGGCGTACTCTCCTTGTCCATCAGCAATGGCTTTTTTGCGGGCATAGATCCGGATCTGAAAACAATTTATATCACAAACACAATTATATCCACATAGAGTTTATGACACAAGTACATTATGAGCTTTTCCCTTGAATGTGACAAATGGCAAAATGGTACTGAATTTTGTTATTCTAAAGAATAAGTAAAATACATTACCAGAACACTGTCTATTGTGCTGTTAATATAGTCATAGTCACTGACAATAAATGCCAACAAGTATGTTGACATTTTCTTTGTTTCGTCGAAAGATGTCCTCCAAACATTCACGGGCCCCTCGGGCCCCACCTCATTGACTAGAACAGGAGCTGAGCAAGAATTAGGAAAAGAGAAGAGCAGACAATAAGATGTTTTGATAAGAATCATAATGCAGCATTTCTGCATTATGGCCAAAGCGTGCTTTAAACATTCACAGTACTGACCATGCTCCATGCCGTTGGACAGGGCCACTGTCTCAGGGGGGTGAAGGAGTGTGATGTGGAAGATGGCTTTCATTGCAGGCTCATCAAAACAGGGGAAGGCTTTCCTGGCATCTGTGGGCTGCATTTGAGTTGTTGCAACAACTCTGAGACAAACAGTACAATGGTTCAGAATTGTTTCGTCAAATGTAGGTGTAATCAAATATGAAATATGAAATCTATCAAGTCAATCTACATCAGCATTACAGAGTTTAAGCTTCATTACAACTTACTTTTGTTCTCCCTCCTCCATATATACACTCCTGTAAAAGCCTCCCAAGTCATCAGCCAGCTCCCCAACAAACACTGTGTCCAGCTGGTAGGATGCTCCTTCAGCTAACTTGCCATTCAGTTCCAATACCAGGAACTGAGTCGTTAGCTGTAGCCAGGATTTCTTTATGGTTGGTGCGGGTGTGCTACCGAGAGCAGTCAGTTTAGCCAGATGGCCATCATCCCACTTGGTGTAGTTCAGCTTGTTGGAGTGTATGAGGATCAGGTCTGTCTCCTTCACACATTGGAAGACCACATAGGATTTCCCTGTGAAGATGTAGAGGCCTTGTGCGTTGACGGTGAGTCGAGGCCACAGGGTCAGGTTGTAGTGGTCAGGCTTCAGAGTGTCTGGGAGACGGTACTTGTCCCATGGTTCATTTGAGGGCGCAGTTGTGGTTATGACAGGTGTGGTGACCTGTGGCTTGACAGTGGAACCTCCATTAGTCGGACTGACAGCCTCGTTTTTGGCTACCTCTTGAGAATAAACGACTGCCAACGCAATGATGGTGGCCACTGCCCCTGCACCAAACACAATGCCCACCACCCCAGCAACCTTACTGACGTAGAAGCCTCCCCCCATGTCCAACTGGCGTAAAACTACAGAGCAAAAGAGATTATGTGGTGCAGCTTTTTATATAGTGGTACACCAGTGGACTCTCATCCCACCAGGACTAATGGCTCAACCATTAACACGACATAGCTCTGGTAGGCAGAGACACACTGTTACTTTTAGGGGTCACAGATCTAGGTTAATTTGATTTATTTAACCAGTATTGTCCTCTCAGTAACAATTACCACTGCATGACAGGAGTTCCAAAGAAAAGGTGATGAAAGAGAATTGAAAGCTAATTTTGAGATGGTATACTGTTCATGTAATATCAACACCATTTAATACAGTCTAACAAAATATTACACATATTGTAATTAAACCACTTAATCCAATTCATCATACATAGAAATGCAGTCTTTTAGATGTTGAAAGCACGTTGTTGTGGGTATTAGATGTCTTTAGACATGCTTGCTTCTAGTTTCATTGAGTCTTTACAACAGCTTCAGTAAAACTACATTTGATTTGTATGAAGCCAGAATACATAACAAAACTGTGAAAGGATAACTTGTTATTCATCACAAGAGAATGATCCTCACGTGGAAGGCCTCCGACAAATGTCATTACATCCTATTGTTCGTCAAGTTTTCACATAATCATTACAGAACGTCATATGCAATGAGTTGATTAGATAAAGAGCGGAAAAGCTTAGCCAAGTCTCAAACCTCAATAGGACTAGAGGAGACTGGGCTGATGTGATTGATATTGCTACTGCTAGTGATGAGTATGGGTATCTGTTCTGTTTAATCTGTTCAACTGTGCAATCAATAAACAGGCCTTTGTTTTCTCATAAGATAGAAGTATTAGGACAAATTAATCACCATGTAATCAAACCAGCTCAGGGACAATCTGTACAACACGTCTTTATGATGCATTATATAGCGCCTGATCTCACAATAGTTTGAGATAATAAAGCCAGGTTATTCCAGTTAAGAGTCCATAAAACTTCACCTTGGGTATCGTTTTAATATCTACCTTGGGTGTTACTGTCACGCCCTGACTTATGGGACTCGTGTATGTTGAGTCAGGGTGTGGAGATCTATGACATTATTTCTATGTATACATTCTAGGTATTGTGTTTCTATGTTTGGCCGGGTGTGATTCCCAATCAGAGGCAGCTGTCGCTCGTTGTCTCTGATTGGGGATCATACTTATGTAGCCTGTTTGCAATCATTAGTTCCGTGTATAGGCTTGTTTTGTGTTTAGCCTGAGGACTTCACGTTACGTTGGTTTGTTGTTATGTTCGTGTGTTTATTTTGTTAAATAAACATGTATGCATTTCACGCTGCGCCTTGGTCTGACCCGTCCTTCAACGTCCGTGACAGAAGATCCCACCAAACACGGACCAAGCAGCGTGCCCAGGAGCAAACACCCTGGACACAGGTGGGGAAGATGTGGTCTTGGGAGGAGATATTTGCGGGGAAAGGACCATGGGCGAAGGTAGATGCCCAGGCAGGAGAGGAGCAACGGCAACACAGAAGGGGCCGGCCGAGGAGGAAGCCCGAGAGAGACAGCCCCAATAAAAAAATGTGGGGGTGCTAAAGGGGTGGTCGGGGAGCGAGAGAGAAGAGCCCCGACCACTGCACCCGGTGGGTTTCCAGATTGAGTCACTACGACCATGGGAACAAGAGTGGGAACAGTTTTATACTGAGGAGTCGGAGGATGACGACGTCCCTAACTCGTGGGGGCTCCCGGAGGAGTCCTCACTGGAGGAGGATTGCCGAGAGAGAGAGAGAAGGATCGGATCTACAGGGTAAGAGAGGAGGCCACCACATTACGGGGGCTGATAGCAAGAATAGAGCGGGAGAGCTCCTTTCAAGAGGAGGCACTGCAGGAGGCTCGTAGGGAGAAGGAAAAAGTAGATGCACGGAGAGAGGAGCTGGTCAGGCAACATAAGGAGCGTGGGTTAATTGAGGAACCCATGTATGCGGAGATACGCACTGTATCGCCAGTGCGCATGCACAGCCCAGTGCGTTCTGTGCCAGCGCCCTGCACGTGTCGTGCGAAAGTGGGCATCCAGCCAGGACGGGTTGTGCCGGCTCAACGCTCCTGGTCTCCAGTGCGCCTCCACGGTCCAGAATATCCTGCGCCAGTCCTACGCACCGTGTCGCCAGTACGCGTTCACAGCCCAGTGCGTCCTGTGCCAGCACCCCGCACGTGTCGTGCGAAAGTGGGCATCCAGCCAGGACGGGTTGTGCCAGCTGTACACTCCAGACCTCCAGTACGCCTCCACGGTCCAGTATATCCTGCTCCGGTTCTACGCACTGTGTCACCAGTGCACCTCACCAGTCCTGTACGGCCCGTTCCTGCTCCTCGCACCAGACCAGTGGTGCGTGTTCCCAGTCCGGCCCGGCCCATTTCTGTTCCTCGCACCAAGCCAGTGGTGCATGTCGCCAGCCCGGTACGCCCCGTACCTGCTCCCTGCACCAAGCCAGTGGTGTGTGTCCCCAGTCCGGCCCGGCCCGTTACTGCTCCTCGCACCAGACCAGTGGTGCGTGTTCCCAGTCCGGCCCGGCCCGTTCCTGTTCCTCGCACCAAGCCAGTGGTGCGTGTCGCCAGCCCGGTACGCCCTGTACCTGCTCCCCGCACCAAGCCAGTGGTGTGTGTCCCCAGTCGGGCCCGGCCCGTTCCTGCTCCTCGCACCAGACCAGTGGTGCGTGTTCCCAGTCCGGCCCGGACTGTTCCGTGTATAGGCTTGTTTTGTGTTTAGCCTGAGGACTTCACGTTACGTTGGTTTGTTGTTTTGTTCGCGTGTTTATTTTGTTAAATAAACTTGTATGCATTTCACGCTTATATATAAATAAAATAAAGATATATGTTCTTTGTAAAAGAATAACCATATGGAGGCACTGCTGAGCCATTAATGCACTCTAGTCCAAAATCTCGCAAGTTTAAATCCCGAGAGCATTTATGCACACTTAGGGCTAGATTCTATAAGATCTGCGCTAGCGCACACCTCCATAGTGGTTGTTTCGGAGGTGGAACTGTATTAGAGCTGTCAAATCTACAAGTGTATCCCGACATTATACCTGAAGCGGAAAATGCCATTAGCTGCATTAGGAGAAATCCAATGCAGCCTAGTTTAAAAGTTGGAACACTGGAATGTGATATGTAATCTACACCTCGATAAGACTTATAGAAATCCACATCATTTTCTTTAATGGTTTTCAATTTGTGACATTATTTCTATATATCCAACACTTTCTGGTTCTGAACTTCGTGACAGTGACCACACAAGCAGCCGCTCACCAATTTGACAGCTCTAACGCAGTTACACCTCAGACACAGCCAAAACACCAGCTATGAGGGTGTCGGCTATCACGTGTTTATGTTTGATCTGATTGAATCTAGGCCTTAATGTCAAGTGTCCCTGAGCACTGCTTCTTTTTAGTTGGTGTTGTCAGATAATGGCACAATTATTGACTTGATTCCAGCTAATTTTAGCAAAGTGCAGAAATTGTCCTTGTTACAGTGTAATTACATGTGTAATTACACTGTAACAAGTATTGTAATTCCAGTCTGTAATTACAGAATGCTTGTTGCCATGCTTGTTACAAATGGGCAGGTTTCCACTAAATTCACCAACTTATTGTGAATGCGCTGGGTGTCTGAGAGATTATAGCCTATGCTTAATAGGCTCTAATTACTTACCCATGAATGTGCACTGTTCAAAATATATCTCCAGTCAACGTTGTTGTTAGCACTTGCCCCCAAAATAAAGCGTACCATATGGGTTAACTTGGTTGAGCTTACGAAAACAGATCTAATACGAGTGTCATCCCAGATGTGGAATAAGACACTATTGCAAAGCATAGTACATGTAATGTTTGCCTAAGTACAATGCAATTACTAGATGTTACACAGGATTTAGCTAGTTAAAATGATATTTTTAGAAACTTTGGCAAAGGGTAAAGTCTACAAAATACAGTCCTCTGTTTGTTACAGATTCTAGTTGGAGAACAGAAAACTATATTGAGATGAACTGTTTAGTATTCCACTGTTGTGGCTAGCTCCACACATACACTACATGACCAAAAGTATGTGGACACCTGCTCGTCAAACATCTCATTCCAGAATCATGGGCATTAATATGGAGTTGGTCCCCCCTTTGCTGCTATAACAGCCTCCACTCTTCTGGGAAGGCTTTCCACTAGATGTTGGAACATTGCTGCAGGGACTGCTGGGCGATTTGGCCTGGATTGCAGTCGGTGTTCAAATTCATCCCAAAGGTGTTCGATGGAACTGACTTGTTGGAAAGGTGGCATCTGTTGGGTTCTATTTTTCTCATAATTGGATCTGTATGTGATGAATAGCTTGGAAGGAATGCATTAATGAGGAGCATAGGTTTGAACTGTACTGATATGGATTGTTTCACATAGCAGGCTGTGATTCATGTGTGGAACGTTAGGGGAAGGACAGATAAGACTTGTATACTTACAGATACGAACACTGCCTCTTTGTTGTCTGTGAACCGTTGTCTGTGAACCGTCCTTGGATGTAGGAACGTACAGTCTTTTGGGTGCTGACTCCACAGGTTATTATGATAGCAACTTATGCCTGGGAACAGTGGAGCGCAGAGGGGTTGGGACCAACCCATGCGCCAACGGATTGGCTGAGTAAAGTCTAAACCACACTCAGTCCTTTACTCTGATTGGCCAACAGAAGAGGTGGGAACTATCTGTCAGAGTATTTGAGAAAGAACCTGTAAACAATGTTTTAGTTCTCTGAGTGCCCTGCGTGGTATTTCATTGGACCCGTATATACGAACCTTCATACTTATCATACATACATTTTGCATATAATAAATTAAGCTTGGATTGAAGATCTCATGATTCTTATTCCAATACCAGATTTGAATTACGCAATTTCTAACACATCCAATGACGGTGCCACGTTGAAAGTCACTGGGCTCTTCAGTAAGGCAATTCTACTGCCAATGGTTATCTATGGAGATTGCATGGCTGTGTGCTCGATTGTATACACCTGTCAGC